GAGACAGGTTCTTCTCCTTTTTTTCCTTTTTTTCAATCATCCGGGTATTTTTTGTGCTGGTTTTCTCTTTTCCATGCTATCAGGGTTATGAAACACAAGTCGGTGAGCGTGGTGCTCAAATGTCCGGTGGTCAGAAGCAGCGCATTGCCATCGCCCGCGCTCTGATCCGCAATCCTAAGATTCTCTTACTGGACGAGGCCACCAGTGCACTGGACACGGAGAGTGAACGCACTGTGCAGGCCGCTCTTGATGCAGTAAGTCTGAGCGGGAATTGCTAGCGACGTACCGTAGTAATGCAATAAGCACATGCGCTTATAAGTGAATTTTTGCCACAAATCCAATTTTCAAAAATGAAAATGTTTCACCTAAACGCGCATGCGCGATCAGAGTTTGTTTGCCACAGTCTTTGTGTTTGGCTAAGTTTTGTAGTGTCAGTTTCATATGATCATGGTTCCTGTATGCTGTTTTTTCAGACTTTTATCCGTGATTGTGTCAAAGTGAGCATTTTGGTAGTGCTTCGCCTAGAAGAGCACGCGCTTATAAGTGAGAGTGCGCTTATATCCGAATACAGGGCACATGCGCCTATATGTGCGTTACTACGGTGCAGAGATTTACATTTTGTCTAGGATTACGGCAAGTCACCGGTGCCTTACCCACTGGGAGTGGACAGGCTATGAACTAAAGAAAAGAAAGAAAAAAAGAAGAAGAAAAGAGCTCCAACTCTGCTCCCTCCTCCATTCGCTTTGTGACTCTGATAATGTGCACAGTGTGCACACTGTGCCCGTCATTTAAATATAAATATTTGTTGACTAACAGTATGTGTGAACCTGATGAAGGCAATTTGCCGAAACATTGTAATAATATTATTGTGAAATGAGTAGAACTATTGCAGTGTTAATGGAAGAGAGCGTGTGGGCTCTACTACTTAACTGCTTATGAAACTGCAGGAAGCCTCCCCACTTTTACTTACAGTATGTGCATTCTGTATATCTAGTACGTAACCAGGTACACTGTGTATGCATCCTGTGTGGCTACATAGCCATGTATGTACGTTATGTATGGCTCATGAGTCGCCTCATCCCGTCCATAGAATTCAGCCATGCAGAGCACAGGGTCTGGGTACGGATCCGGATACGTCAATATCAGTAGATGTCCAAGCGTTTGCCCTTTCTTTCGTGTTTTCCCATCATACCTCACTGTATGGTAGGCACGTGCTGGGAGAACAACTATCGTCATAGCTCACCGCTTATCCACTATTCAGAATGCTGACTGCATTGTAGCAGTGGAAGACGGAAAGGTGACGGAGATGGGCACACATCGTGAACTGATGGAGAAAGAGGACGGCTTGTACCATGCTCTTGTTACTATGCAGGTATGGTATGGTATGGTGTGTGTGTGTGTGTGTGTGTGTGTGTGTGTGTGTGTGTGTGTGTGTGTGTGTGTGTGTGTGTGTGTTGTGTGTGTGTGTGTGTGTGTGTGTGTGTGTGTGTGTGTGTGTGTGTTGTGTGTGTGTGTGTGTGCGAAAATGTAGGGGTGGGAGAGAGAAGGGGGGGAAGGGGGGCAGGGAAACAAACAGTTCGCCTTTTTTCTCCATATCCCACTATTGCCTTGTCACACAAAATGCAATAAGCCTTGTGCGCGTTGTACAGATGCACGGATTCCCGTAGAATCCCGTAGACCCGGTAGGGTGTTGAATGTGCAGGACCCTATTGCGTTTTCTGCTATTTCCACTAAGAAATGGGCCCTGAAGGCATTTGAAACGAAAACCTTTTTCTGCCAAAGACCTAGCTAGTCGTTAGTTCTAACCAAAGTGAAGAAGCTGGAAAAGGGATTGTTTGCCATTGATTATGAGGCTAAAATTGGTCAAATACGCATGCATAGCACACAATGAACACCCAATCGGGTCTGTACAAACTTACGCCCTAGTACTGAACTTCGTACATCTGTACAACGCGCAAAAGGTCTATATACGGGCACAGCGAGCACCCAGAACGATCGGTTTATGGCCGCATAAATCAGCCAACCAGGGTGAATTGGGTGATTCACTTAAAGGTGTGTACGTCGTGGAGCCAACAAATAAAGAATCCGAGTCTTTCGTGATGGCAGAGCTGAACAACATCGAGCTGCAGACTCGGGCAAAGTGGTTGCGTTTCCCACAGGCTTTGCAGCACTGGCCTCTGGCTGGGCACTGATCATGGTGAGAGTGTTGACTGCCACCACAGCCTTCCGGCACTTTGATAGGTTCGTCGGTGGTGTGGCTGCAGGTTTGGAGCTACCGTGCGGCTTGCTCTTCGGCTTACCATGGTGCTACCGGACAGCTGAGACTGAGCCATCGTCGGAAACCGAACTTGCAGCGACCAAGCCACTACGAGACTGGAACGCAACCTGTTGCTGCACAGTTTTGGCTTGCCGTGCGAAAGCAACAGCCTTGCCAAGAGTTTGAGTTCGTACTTCATTTGCAACTCACGACTCACCTGCTTGTCCTGCATGCAGGCAATTAAGCGATCTCGGATACAATCATCCTTTAAGTCGGCAAACTCACAATGTTCAGCAGCTTTGTAGAGTGCTTGTACAAATTCCTCTACTGTTTGGCCGGGTTTTGAACCAGCTGTTCGAACTGGGCCCACTCATGGACAACATTGGTGGAAGGGCGGATGTAGGAGTCGAAGGCTTTGACAACCTCGTTGTACTTTTTCTTATCCGCCTCTGGAAGTCCGTGTTGGTAATCTAACACTGAGTCGACGCTGGGTCTGTCAGAATAAAGTTTCTTTTTTGCAAGCTTCAACTGGAGCAATAACTATTACTTCGACTATGCATGCATGGTTGTACATGCACGAACTGATATGCATCTAAATTCACCTACCAGTTTCTTGGTCATGGCGATGGGCCAGATCTTTCCCAGCGCTGTCTCATGCTGAGGAACACTTCCTCTTGGGCAGCGTGGCACCTTGTTGTCAATGAGTGGGATGAAGTGCACACACACCCCAGCTCAGCGTAGTCGGGTGTGGTATGCCGTTTGTTTCTTTTTCCCCGAGCAGCGGCAAATGACTGCCTTCTGAATCTCGATGTGGTCGAGGCTGTTGGTCTTTAAGTCCTGGAGCGAAATTTCCAGGAAGGGCAGGAGGTCTGCGCACATTTTCCGGATGCTGGTTGGGTTTTCGTCATCCTCATCTTGAACACCAATGAAGCTCACATCACCGTCTGGAAGCTCAACATTCACCCGCTTTACTAATTTGCCAATTCCTTACGACAAATTGGTATAAAAAAATTATTAAAAAATTTGATGGGTATAATAGATTAATGTTTCTCTGACACTGATACGCGATCAGGCATGCAGAAACAATAAGTAAATGTACTTGTGTTCAAACAGTGATGCAAGAAGTGCAAACCGGCCTGGTCATACAGCACACTATATCTTACACCCGCACACCATTCTGGAAAAGGCGGACGTAGACATAGAAGCTGTCGTAGCAGAGAATCTGTGCTGCGGTGTGGTAGAGAAATGGGTCCTCTGGTGTGGACAACGGCGCTCCAGGCAGCGGATCGATAGGCACCAGAAAAGCGTCTCTGGGAAGAGCTGGCACTTACCACAGTGCAGGAAGATTGGCGATGACTTCTGTGCTTCCTGTAGTTCAATCAGCTTCTCAAGTGCGCTGGTGACCAGTGAGGGCACGAAGAGTTTTGCGTGTGAACTCATCAGCTTTGGTGACTGGCATCATCTGGTCAGTGTCAGAGAGCAGCGAACCGGAGTTTCACTGAGCAGCACTGTAGCTACGTCTGCTGAAGAACTATTGCCGCAAACAGACTTGTCGCAGTCTGTACACAGCACAGGCCTACGTCCACCGGCAGCAAATTAAAAATGCCGAACGGTGGATGCTGACGACCGATCGAGCGGTGGCACTAGCAGCGTGCATTTTAGCTCGTAGTGTGGGCATAGATGGCTTCATAGATGGTGATCAAGCTGGGTATGTGGACTATCCTAAGGCAGTGTCATCAATGACCCCCGGCCGCACTCCTGAAAGGACGATTGCCTCCTTACCCGTTCTTTGAACTGGAGCTTGAGGAGAAATGTCCCTCCTGCTTATGATTGTCAGAGCGGGAAATAGAGCGGTGGCCCCCACGACACCCTCCAGCACTGGCTAGTTAATAACTATTGCCCCTGAAGCTTCAAGCCCTACTGTCCCTGTTACAAGCAGATTTCGGCTTCGATGAGCCAGAAGAGCAATGAAATGCGTCTATTTCCTGAGTCCGTTTCTAATACCTTGCGAAATCTTTCCCAGACAATTATGTTCCCAGACGGAGGTATTTCTTGGAGTAAGCTGGAAGGGCACTTGTTGTCGAGTAGCACTGTCAGTCGCTGCTGACTCGTGACTGAGAGGCTTTTGGCTGCATCCCCAGCCATAGACAGCTGTCGTGATTCGTGACATGCTTGCAAGTCTCCAACCAAATAATAATCACTACAGGGTTTCCATTAAAATGCAGCCCACGACCTGTAGCCGCATGCCTGACTCACCGGCCATGCCCTTTTCCATGTATGATTCTATACTTTTTGCCACGTGCCTCTACAACAAGATGTCGCTGCTCTGTTGTTGTTGCTGCTGGTGGTGATGCTGGTGCTGCTGGTGGTGGTGGTGCTGCTGCTGCTGCTGCTGTTGTTGTTGTTGTTGTTGTTGTTGTTGTTGTTGTTGTTGTTGTTGTTGTTGTTGTTGTTGTTGTTGTTGTTGTTGTTGTTGCTGCTGCTGCTGCTGCTGCTGCTGCTGCTGCTGCTGGTTGCTGTTGGTTGCCACTGCCCCCGTTGCTACTTTTGTCTGTAGGCTGCTGTTGCTGATACTGAGAAGAGCACTGAAGAAGATGCTGGTAAGTAAATTCAGTTCTTACTACCAAACTGTCCTCCTTTGAAACCAGAGCAATAATCATGACCTTACATTGTTCTTTTTTGTTTTTTTGTGACTTTGTTTACTTCGCAAAATCCAAACGGGAATTTCTTCCCAATAACAAGGTAGCGAAGAGGGAAGAAAAAAAGTGTATGCACTGGAAATGATAGTCAGCTGGAGATCAATAGTACGGATCCATTGTCAAACATGGCATTAGCTACTGTTGCAGGTATTTAGCAAGGAATATGACAGGCACAGTCAATGACCAATTGCGTAAGGTACTGCTGCAGCTTTGAAGGTCTCCAGCGTTGTGCTGGAGCGGACGTCTCCAGGTAATCTGTTCCATTTACCTGTAGCGTTGAAGGCATAACTCAACTTGCCAGCGTTTGTTCTTGCAACTGGAAGACTGAGTCCTTTCTGCTGCTGAACGCGGGTTTCTCTGGTCATTTGTGGAGTCAGTAGTTGCGTGACGGACTGCAATGTCTCACCGTGTAGGCTCTTCCACACAAGCGCTAAGGTGTTCTGGGGGAAGTGCTCTGACACCTGGAAAACTCCCAGCCGGGTCAGCAGAGGTTCAACTGAGTGTCGCATGGGTACACCATAGACGGTGCGGACTGCTCGATTCAGCAGAACCTGCAGCCTCCTGGTCTGAGCACTCGACAGTGAGCCACTGGAAGAGGGCAAGGTGTATAGGGCGTCTGGCAGTACTACGGAGGTGATGTACCGTGCCCTTGCAGCTTAACTGAGGCAGCAGCGTGTGCGCCAGATATCTCCGATCTCCTGAGCCATCTTGGCTGCCACTCTATCAATGTGCTCCTTGAATGTCAAAGTGTTGTCCACGGTCACTCCGAGATACTTGATTGAGGAGGCTTCCGGAAGGGGTGTTCTGTCGCAGGTGACTTCGATCGGTGGTGTTGGCTGTTGGCGTCCAGCATACACTGTTAGGAGATGCTCTGCAATAAACTAAGTACTTAGCGAAGTACAATTCCGACTTCATGACTTTCTCGATCAAGGGATCCTTTGTGCCTTGATTGAACGCCGAAGAAATATTTGGTTGTGCGATAGCCGCCTGGAGTTGCTTCTTGTGCTTAGATCCATTGCAGTGCCGCTTCACATCGAAGACGCCGCCACCTGCGATGTTTAAACCGGTATTACAGATCGTACACAAGGCAAATAACGGCCCTTCTTACTTGAAGACATTTTACTTGTATATCTACGCCACTCGGCCTGATACTTGCTGGAAACATGCCTCTTCTTTGCAGGGGGCGAAGACGGCATCCCTTGGTTTGCTACAAGGGCAAATGCTAGTGGCTACTACGCTCTACTCCGTTTCTGGACTGGACTGAACTGAAGAAACACTGGGAGAGGGGAGCGGGCTCCTGTGGTATAGGCATGGAAAGTGTGCTTCCTCTACTGTGGGAAGGTATAAAAAAAGCAGGGAGATGTAGTAGGGATTAGTGGTAGCGACTTTCGCGCTTCGCGATAGGTCTCTACATGTGCACTGCTGAACCCTTGCACCATTTGCAGCACTCATAAGCACCATCTGTAACACCCATGAACCCTTGCATCACCTGTACTGTGATTTCTTGACAGCAACTGTGCACTTTTGTGCCACCTTTGTACATGTAGTGTAGCTGTGCAGTTTGCGCTGATCACTGTCTCACAGACTACTAGTATAGGCTTTTTTTCCGTCACCCCAAGTCTTCTTTCGGGACTTGGTAAGAGATTCACGAACTAGATAGGTGTCCTGTCATGTCACGCGGCCAAGCTCCGGGATAGCCATGCTCAACCGCATGCAGTATGCCAGAAAATCGCCAAAACTGCAGTTCATATCATTTTTTCAATTTTTTGGGATAATCGAGAAGAATTTCGGGATTTCGGAAAGTCATCCAAAAATGCGGGATAATCGAGAAGAATTTCGGGATTTCGGAAAGTCATCCAAAAATGCGGGATAGTCCCGAAAAAAATCGGGATACTTGGCAGGTATGGACTCCTGGTTGCCAATACACATGCAGAATTCTTTAATTCGTTTGCATATCAACTGTCTGGATACCACAGGGAATATGTTCCCTACAATTGAATCGTACTCCTTGCATTTCTGTAACCACCGGGTTTAGCCCGACTGAGTTACCCCAGGAAGCTGTGTTTGCAGCGTAGCCCGATAACCTGTTGGTGGCGGTTGATGTTTCTTTTGACATTCAGATCTACTGCCTTGTGCTCTTACTAAGACATCTGGTGATGGTGTCAATGGCGATATGGTCAGACAGAACTCCGGCAAGACCAAGGTGCACCGACAGCTTTCCAAGCCACTATCTGAGCAGCAGAAGTCCATGGCAGGATCTGCTGGTAAAAGTGTGAGTGGCTTCTTGGTGTATGTGTTGCATGTATTGTGTATTAATTAGCTATGATTCTGTTGTAAAGGCTGTATGAACTGTCTGTTATGCATGTGAGGATGCTCTGTATCAGTTGCTGAGTACTCTCTACTGCAGAGACGTCATTCTGCATGTACAGTTGTGCTCACTGAATTCCGACCCGAAGTGCAAAACTGACGCCTTGGACCAGTTCCGATAACATCGCTCTACGTGGACATGTGTATGTCCAGTCGCATCCGCACCTCTTCCTGGGTATCAATGGCCGTGCAAGTTGAGGGCGCCAAATATGCTCTTTGGGTCGGATTCTACCGAGCACCCCAATGTTGTGATTGAGCATGGTGGAGTTGTTGAGAGCTAGTAGAAGAGCTGCACCAGCTTTGGTCACAATTATATTCATTGGGGTCGCAAAGTTGTGAATTGTCTCGTGTTGTTGTGGGAACGGAATCTCCTTGAGTAACGAGTGTGCATGCTGTTGATGTCATTCAGCAATCCTTACCAATCTTGTCTAGAGGAGAAGTTCTGCTTGTTATGATGGTACCCATCACTTGTTGTAATTGATTGAGAAACGAGTTCGAGATTGCAGAGTGAACGGGAAGAGAGCGGGTCTGCTCTGAAACCTTTTCATTCCTATGAATGAAGCTGCAGGAAACCTCACCACTGCTACCTATAACTTGTTATGTGAATTCCTTACTCACTGTCTTCCAACTCTAGGGTAAAGAAGATGATGATAATGAAGATGACGACGAGGAGTACCCGGAGGTGTCAACGTTTCGACTGTTTAGCTACAACCGACCGGAGTTTCCCTGGATGGCGCTCGGATCTCTTTGTGCCATGGCCAACGGTGTACTATTCCCGCTGTTTGGTATCGTGTTCTCTAAGATCCTGAACGTAAGTCAATAGGGCTACTTGCGGGTAAAGACCCGACCCTCGCACCATGCTTGCGTGAACAACTAGCCGTGGGCATACTGCCATGTAGGTTTGCATGCAGGCTGATACTGCACGGGGTCCTGGACGCGGTATGGCTCGCTATGAGGGAGTCCCTTATTTATTTGGCCAGAAATGCACTTCAGAGTACAGTCAGACCTCGCTTATCCGGTCCTCGTTTATCCGGATCCCTCGCCATCCGGAAGAAAATAGGTGGTTACAAATGTACAGCATATGCCATGCTTACAAACAGACTTGCGTAACAATAACATGTGAACTTTGTATCCTGCTCTTCTGTCTCTTCCCCTGTTCCTGACGTTGCTTTACTTACCTCCCACTACTAAGTTATCTGTGATCTCAATGTGTCGATCACCTCCTCATCGTGTGTTCGATTTGCAGATATTCCGCTTCGTCGGTAATCCGAGCATGGAAGACGCGTACAAGCGAGAGGCTGGCTTGTGGTCAGGCATATTTGCTGCGCTAGGTTTGGCCTCGCTAATCGTCATTGTCTTGCAGGTCAGTTTGACTAGTACCCAAGCCAAGCCAAGGTGTACATGTACTGAGATGTGCCAGGCTAACGTATACAGTACTGCCGGTCGCCGAAGAACTGGGGGGGGGGGGGAGGCAGCCTCCTAGCCTGGACCGTTCTTAGTTTCTTGTATTGCAGTCTATGCGCAGTTGAGTCATCATGTATGCATTGGTATGCTGTGCTTGATGAAATTCTAGCCTGGTTGTTCTTCGGCGCTACCCGACAGTGCTGTACATGTAAAGGGATGTGTGTGGTGCTCTGTGTCTTGTGTATACTGGGATGTGCCGTAGCCAGAATGTGTTAGAAGTGCTGAGGAATTGTAGCACTTCAGCCCACCTCTCTTGCAATTTGACCCTATTTTATTCGACAGCTGTGGATCTGAAACTTCCGATGTGTCTTTCCAAGCAGAAGGTGCAATAGTCAGGGCACCGGGTTGTTGTTGTTGTTGTTTTATTTTACTTCATCAGATTAACAGGCAAGGGTGCCTTCTCACCGGCCAGGGGCCAGTTCCTAGAAATGATGAAGAAATTGCATGGATGGCTAATGATGAAGACTAACCTAATATCTAGGGTATGACAGACATACATTTTATGAATTTATAGAAAATATGCCGCGTTTTGTGAAAAATTATGAGAAATTATGAGTTTGTAGAATATTACATGCAGAACACGGGGTGGGGTTGGCTAATAGTCGCCTCACAGCACTGTCGGGCGCCGAAGAACGGACAGGCTAGAATTCCACCAAGCACAGCACAGCAGGTATATGCAAGGTGACTCTACTGCACAGAGGCTGCTGTACATGAAAAATAAGAACGGTCCAGGCTGCGAGGCTGACCCCTCAATTCTTCGGGACCCAACTGTACTGCATTTGAATTGATGTCACTATCAAACAAACACTCTTTAAGCTCACCTTGTACTTGTCACACGATTCTTATTCTCTTCCCTTGTCCAGTACCTCACGTTTGCCATATCTGGTGAGGCGTTGACAAAGCGCATGAGGAGCATGGCATTCACAGCAATGCTTAGAAAGGTAAGGCGCGGTCATGCCTATCACTCACAACGGTGCAACACGCCTGATCAGAAATCAGCCAAATGGTCCCAGCGTCCCAGTGGCTGAGTTTTCTCCTGCCCCCCCCCCCCCCCCCTCTCTTTCTCTCGTGCTCCATTCTGGTCTGTTTGCGTGTGTGCCTATCAGTATAATCAAGAGTACATAAACCAGAGTGTGCAACTCGGGATGGTTCCTGTGGGAGCGTAATTCGTGCAGTACGTCACTTCTGACGGCATGGTAAGCCACAGGTACGGTGAATAGTTGCGTAACCAGTCACGGTGGTGCAGGTCACTGAGTTTGTCCTGATTTCGGTTTTTTGACACGAGTAGCATGGTGAATTTACTTGCCAGCGCATGTACACAGCGTACGCAGTCACACAAAACACCGAAATCCTAAAACAGGACGTCCAAACCATGCGAACTATTACTTGGCTGATTTCCGGACTGTGAAACATGAAAATTTGAGCTGTACGCAAGTCGCGGCTTGGCTGACCTCATCAGGGTGACGTAGTGCACGAACTGCGCTGTTTCAGATCTGATATGCACAGTTGCACACTCTGGTTTATGTACTCTTGGTATAATGAAGTACCGCTGCCTCGTCCCTCTCCCCGTCTCAAAATTTAATTTACCCCCCCCCCCATCCATTTTTTGTACTTGTGATGCAATCTTGCAATTTCAAAAGTGTGTGATGCAATCTTAGCGTATTTATCAAAATACAATGTTGAACTGGTGTATGCATTGCTGTATGCAACCCGTGATGCAATGCAGACATTCCGCTGGATAAAACTGCTTCTGAAGTATACACAATCCAGTATGGCCTGCCTACCCCCTGCTGTAAAACCAGCCGGAAATACGTCATGGATGGCAGGTCAATGGTACTTTACAGTACATGATTCGAATTGCAGGGCAGGTGGGAGTGGGGGGAAATATCTGTTCTACCCCCCCCTCCCCTTCTAAAATTTCTATGTTTCGCTTTTGTCATTGTACTACGTGTGCAGAATATTGGATTCTTTGATGAGAAGAAGCACAGCACCGGGGCATTAGCTACTCAGCTGTCAGCTGATGCAGCTCTAATCCAGGGAGTAAGTCTAACCCTATCTGTACTCAGTGATCTGCATGTCTGAGCTGTGTACAGTGTGTCACTGTGATCACTGAGAACTTCTTAGTCAGTTGAGCTAAACATGCTTAGTATCTGTACGCAGATTCGCAGTGTTGCTCTGTCCTCACTGAAGACGTCGCTGCACTGCGCGCACAGGGTGGATTGATCATTTGGGTAGCAAGAAAGGACGTGTTCTGCCGTGCAATTATTGCGCAGGGGCCCATCGTCTCTCTGCAGCTGTCCGTGGACAGAACCAATGTCATGCAGCACTAGTCACTCTTCATCACTTTAGTGCAATGTTGAGTGTAGTTTAAGTTATCAGTGCTGAATCATCGAGTCTCTATAGTGTCTCCCTTATGTCCAAACAGAACCCCACATCCGCAACGTAAGCCATGCATACTTTTTGGGCTACACTTACAGTAGTGTAAAGCTGTGTTCACAACTGGCGCGTAGACGCGGTACGCGTGGACGCGGTACGCGTGCGGTTCATGCGTGCCCAAACGCGCGCTCAGCCTTTCACAAAAAACAACAATCCGAGTCGTATTTAGCGCGTGCGACACCTTCGAGTACTAATTTTTTGACCCCGCCAGTCAGAGTGACTGGCATGTACGCTGGTACGCACCTGATACGCGCTGAAAATTCCAACATGTTGGAATTTCATTTCGGCGCGTTTCCGTACGCATGGCGCCCCAAAAGCCAGAAAAAATACGCACAAGCGCGTGGTTTCACGCGTACACGCGCCAGTTGTGAACACAGCTTTACAGCTGAAAGATCAAATGAGCTACAGTGGATGAACAGCATAAGGGCATTGTCATTCCAGATTGTAGTGTGCCTAGTGTTTCCTACAAGGCATGGTTGGCTGCGACTGTTTCTTAGTATGACCAAGAGCACATAACCCCCAAGAGTGTGCAGCTCTGTCTATGGGGTTGGCGGCAGAACTTCACATCACTTGACAAACCCGTACACACCATTCGCACCCAGTGTGCATGGAAGCTACAGGGTAAGTTAGTATGCAGCCCAGCTTTGGGCACAGCTCTCTTGTGATCACTTTGCACTGCTTGCCAGCGTGACCTGTAGAACCATGTCACGTGGTGTGAAACTCTGCCGTCGTTGTAGCACTTGATAGAGATTGTACAGGCAGTTGCCCATTATTGGGGCTATAGTGATAGATAATTCTAAGGATTCCCCAAAGGCTAAAAGCCTCTCTAGGGGCGCTATTATAATACTACCGTACTTCCCCACATATAAGCGCATGCGCTTAGGGGCCGTCCGTAAATATCGAACATTTTTCACAAAACGAAATAATTTCGTTATGGGGTGGGAGGGGGTTGACCAATTTCGTTTCAGAAAACATTGATTCATGTACTTCGAAGTACATGGCTGTTGTATATGCATGTATGTCAACATTTTTTACGTTCTGAGGGGGAGGGAGGGAGGGGTTGGGTCTAAACTAAAATAATTCGTTTGGTGAAAAAAGTTCGATATTTACGGACGGCCCCTTATAAGCGAAAATTTGCTGCAAAAAAGATCTTTGGCTGTGTAAACATGTTCGGGTAGAAGCCCATGCGCTTATATGCGCAATACAGGTTTGTCTGTGTCCTAAACAATGGTGTCATCACACTACTTAGTGGTATATTTCGCTCCCGCCTTTTCACCAATAGTGTTCACATATAAGCACATGCGCTTATAATTAAGGGGTGCGCTTATATCCGGACATAAGCACATGCGCTTATATGTGCGGAAGTACGGTATGTCTTATGGTGTTATGTATTGCTTTGTGTCCTGCGCTAGGCTACTGGTGCCAAGCTGGCGTCCGGCAACCAGTTCGTTGCCACTCTGCTTGCCGCTCTCATCATCAGTTTTATCGCTTCGTGGCAGTTGACACTGGTGCTGCTGGGTATGCTGCCGTTCATCATTGCCGGCTCAGCAATCCAATACCAAGCCCTGGCTGGATTCAGTGCTGCCAATCGACCGGAACAGATCACCTCTGGAAAGGTTAGGCCCGGTCATAGATCCCGTTTCATTTTGTTTACGTTCTTCGGAATGCCTAGCGGCAATCGTAAGTATGTGCGACGTCAACGAGTCCAGCAGTGCACATGTACCGAGCGCTGTTCTCTTGAAATTAGGAATCAGATTTTATTAGCAGTGGTGGCGGTGTAGTGTCACCCTGGGGTAAAATATGTACCATCTGAGTTTGCACCATTCGCATGGGCTGGATGTTCCATTGAACGACTGCATAATTGATAGGCTGTTTTAAGGCATTTGTCTTTTGCGAAAAGATAGGACAAGCAGTGGTAGGATGCATTGATCAAGGAGCCATTGATCAAGCAATCAATCAGTCTGTGCTATTCTCTTGCTGTAGCTGGCTATCGAGTATGTGGATAATATTCGCACGGTGGCGTCGCTTGGACTTGAAGACCGTGCCGTTGCTAGATACATGGATGTCCTGGAGCCACTCCACATGTAAGTCTAGACACAGGCTAGGGTATTCAAACTGATGGAAACGTCTTCGTAATACGGAAAAAGGGGTACATCTTATTGTAGTGCAAAGACGTTTGCGAAGAGCTCTTACAGTACGTACTACGTAGTGCATTGGGGCCATGGCCAGCTCAGACGTTTCATGATTTAGACACCTTTTGCCCCCTTTGCAGCACCCAATGAGAAAACAGGTGAACCCATAAACTCCTTGTTGGATGAGAGGTACCGAGTTTACTCTCCGCACTTTGTCGAAGTACATACTTCAAGAAGTAGCTGTCACTTCAGGGAGGATTTTGGCCAGAACGCACTATTTTTGAAATAGACCATCACTCAAAAGTCAAAACTGAGGGGCGTCGTATGTTGTGGTGTCCTCTGATAGCTTTCCTTTACATATACTTGCTAACTTATCTCAGATATCACTGCTTTTGTTTTGTATTACACCTATATCGTGTGAGATCTGGTTATCTGCAATTTCTGGACCAGGATAATTTCCTCCTCCTCCTCTTCCCCCCCCCCATGCAAGCATTCACAACGAGTGTGTGTTGTGTTGCTGTCTGCCTGAGGTTACACCACTCTACTGTCTGCTGGTTTTCCCTTGCTTGTCTAGTGCTGCAAAACGCAATCGGCACATTGTTGGCCTGGCGTTTGGCTTCGGTGAAGCTACATTCTTCTTCCTGTACGCCGTCACGTTCAGCTTTGGCGGCTATCTCATCAAGAATCACGGGGAAAGCTTTGAGGATGTGTTTGAGTAAGTCGGTCTGCACCTAGTTCACCTACCGTATTTCCCTGAATATAACTCACACCTTTTCACACTAAACTTCAAGAGCAAAAAAGGGCTTGCGACTTACCATTAAGCATGACTTACTACTGAAGTGAATATGTCGAAACAATATGGCCCACACCTGAAAATGGGCGTGCGACTATAATCGAGTGCGACTTATAATCAGGGAAATACGGTACTATGGATTGCTTGTTGGTGGTGATGAAGTGTTGTTGTTGTCGTGGTTGCCTTCGTCGTCGTTGTTGGTGGTGATGATGATTCTGTCGTCATTGTTTTGTATAGCCATTTTGACATCACATGCTGCAAGATTAAGCATCCATTGAACTTGTGCAATGACTGTGGCACTGTCATTAGGTGGTGGTTATCTGTCCACGATAGTGTCTGTGACAAGCAGCTATTGTGCTCTCTAAGACCGATGTAGGGCAAGACGTGCATATACGATGCCTTTCTTGGCACAGCCGCCTTAACACTCTTATGCATTTTTGTATGATGTGTGGTCCTCCAAGTGCTCAGTCATTGTTGTTGGTTCCCTTGTTCCTTTGTTCTCCTCAGGGTGTTTGGTGCTATGCTCTTTGCTTCGATTTCCCTGGGCGAGGCTGCAGGACTAGCACCGGATCTGCAAAAAGCGAAACGCGCCGCTTCCAGAATACTGCACTTGATTGATTCAGTACCGGAGATTGACTCCCTGTCCTCGGAGGGATCAATGCCAGTAAGTTACAGAATGGCTCAGACCACGCAGTTGCCGAAGAACATAGAGGGAACAAGGGTTTTTATCAAGTAGAAACTGCAGTTCACGCATGCGTGAACGCCAATAATAAAACAAAAATCACAAAATCATGAATTTCACTACAACAAAGCTGTCAAGAGTTAGGCCAAACACATTGATATGGAGACAGAGCATTCTGAAATATTATTAGTTGGTTTCAGTCCAATAGAGGGCTTCTGTGCTTTCTTCTATAAAAAACAAATACAGACAAGCCTCTTTAGGACTGGCACCAATGGACCATTGGTATTTGTTTGCAATAACGGGAGTTCCTCTTATCCCTATGTTACACCCAGCGAATACACAGTGATTTATCCCAATAGAGTTATGAAAACCAGTTCTTCGAAAGGGAAATATTCCTTAGTTAGAGGGAAATTTGCAAACGGGAAAAAGTGAAAGTAGGTCTTATCAGTGTTCTTCCTAACAAAGTTTACTGTGCTAACTTCTAATAACAACAGTCCAGTACGTAGTCCAGTACGTAGTCACCTAGTCAATCAGGAGCAACGCAAACACATCCAAAACGACGGAGGGTCGGAGACAAAGCACGAACAGGATCAGTAGAAAGGCAGAAACGGTGGAGCAGAAAGCGGCAGATCATCACCCGAAAGCAGCAATAGACACCCTTAGCAAACAACGGTAACACTATTTGTTTACGGTACTCGTACCTTGATCACCCAAATAGCGTTGAAGCTGCAGCGTAAAAACGTTATGGGGGCTGATTTATCGTTGTGACCAACGGTACGTTTTTGACCAAATATTGCATAGTCCGTACGCATTTCACCTTGTATCGCGTATATGGTGACATAAATGGTTGTACCGCGCGAGTAAAAGCTATTCTCGTGGCAACAGCGTACTAAAAATAGCGTGCATCTTGCTAAAGGTTGAGCCCAAATCACGGTATTTTCCCCCTTACGGTAATACCGTTACAACATAACGTTGTTTGCTAAGGGTGTCTAATGTTACAAAACCAGAAACAGGAATAGCTTTCTTGAGGCGGCTGAGAGGATGGGTTCCTTCTTCAGGTGGATGCACAAACTTTCCACTGTGGCATCACACCAGAAGAAAGCCTCGGCTAGGCCAGGAACACGAACAGCAGACTGGGCAGCGACAAGATCCAGACGCTAGAAAAAAGCAGCCAATGGATCAGAAGAACTGGGAGGATTCACAACGTGGCTCCAGGAACTGGCACCCCAGCAGCCGCTGACATTGTACATCGGGTTCAAACAGAGGCAAACTCTGAGGAGACAGCACATCGGAACATTTCGCGGCAGGGCCTGTGCCGCAAACCAGATAGTATAAGTACTGTGGAAGTAGATTTTATGAATCCCAACAGGCTATTGCCTTCTTACAAGTAGTTTTTGGGTGTTGTTTGTCCGTATGAAGACATCCAAGAAGAAGATTGCCTGATGAGTCCAGCGGGGACGAAACGTACGTCGCAATCGAGCTATGTCGTTGCTGTCTCATCTTCTATGTGCCATGTGCTACTTGATGTACCAGCCTGCTGTTTGACAAGAGAAATCTGCTATAAGCGGGAGACTGCCTTGCCACAGTCACATGGAAGGGCGTTCCTATGTTCTGCCACAGGGTAGTAAATGCATGTATGTTGTATAGCCGTAGCGGGGGTGGGCTGGAGGAAGCAAAGCGAGTTGGCACATTGGGTAAGGTGATGTTGCCGTGAACTTCCCTATCAGGCTTGTGGCGGATCGGTGGCTGTGTTGTGGATGGGTTGACACTAGCTTGACAGTAAGCCCGTGATTCAGCAGGCACTGATCCAACCGATAGAGGTTGTTCTGGGGCACTGATCCAACCGATAGAGGTTGTTCTGGGGCTGCTGTTCTCCGTGACTACTGGCGATTTGGGACGCGTACGCGCGCCGAGAACCACTCGCCTTTCAGGCCCAAATAATGAAAAACTTTCCTATGTGTTGAATTTGACCGTATACCATGTGCGTTCATTCTCTCCTGCAGGACACAGTTGCTGGCAACATTGAGCTGACAAACATCCGATTCCGCTATCCGACACGTCCAGACATTGAAGTCCTGCAGGACACGACCATCACAGCCAACCACGGTCAGACCATTGCACTTGTAGGGCAGTCTGGCTGCGGCAAGAGCACCAGTGTGTCACTGCTGGAGAGATTCTATGACCCGGAGGCTGGCATTGTGGTAAGATTTCACAACTGTGTATATCATCACTGGACAGTGGACCGGCATGCATCATGTACACGATTTGTCCATGTGTACGTTGCACACAAAAACTTCACAATTTCACATGAATGTGTGGTGTCAGATTTCATGGGCTTGCTACTGCTTGTATTGAAGTTCACAGCACAACCATGTAGAATGCATGTTCCTGAGTAGTCGTAAACTTCTAGTTGTGCAGCTTGCTAGCTGTATCATTCTCTTTTTAATATTCACCTGTGTTGTTGTGTTTACAGACACTTGACGGGCAAGACATTCGCACGCTGAACTTGAAATGGCTCCGCCAGCAGATGGGTCTTGTGCAGCAGGAGCCGATATTGTTTGATGCCAGCATTGCGGACAACATTGCGTACGGCGCTCTTGGTGATGGGCCAATCAGCATGGAGACCATTCAGGAAATGGCAAAGAAAGCCAACATCCATGACTTCATTGCAACTTTACCCGACGTGAGTACATGCATGGGCGTGGGGGCAATAGCACTTCGATCTACTTGCTCGATGAACATAGTTTAAATCTGTCCAAAGGGGCATGTTCTATTTCCTGTCAATCTTGGGACACTGTTGGACAGCCTGCTAAGGTTCATGTGTGTGTGTGTGTGTGTGTGTGTGTGTGTGTGTGTGTGTGTGTGTGTGTGTGTGTGTGTGTGTGTGTGTGTGTGTGTGTGTGTGTGTGTGTGTGTGTGTGTGTGTGTGTGTGTGTGTGTGTGTGTGTGTGTGTGTGTGTGTGTGTGGTGGATACCAGGCTAAAAATAGTGGCGGTCAATTCATCAGCCTTGCAAGCTGTTGAATGGTGTAATCCTAGCACAAGTTGCTATGTCTAACATAGCTGTTCGCTATCATCGCTTCCGCGATGGGCATGTCTGAGGTCTGAGGTGTGTGTGTGTGTGTGTGTGTGTGTTTGTGTGTATCAGGGCTACGACACCAATGTAGGTGCCAAAGGTACACAGCTGTCCGGTGGCCAGAAACAGCGCGTGGCCATTGCCCGAGCACTGATACGCAATCCCAAGATTCTCTTGCTGGATGAAGCCACCAGTGCTCTGGACACGGAGAGTGAAAGAGTAAGTACAGGCATGTATCACTGGATGTGCAAGAATGCCCAACACACACCATGTACCACACACACACACACACACACACACACACACACACACACACACACACACACACACACACACACACACACACACACACACACACACACACACACACAGTTGTGAAATGATGTGTTGTTTTCCTGTGTGATGGCATTTCCCAAACTGTCTTGTCTAGTCGCGTGCATGTGCGATATGAGCATGCGCGATTTTGTAGTCAAGAGTCCTTTTGTCAGTCTTCTTGTTCGTCCCTTTGAGTTTAGTCTCGATTTTCGTAATGTCAAATATATACTGTAAACCAAACTAGTCTTGTCCTTTGTGTCCTGCGTCCCGGGGAGCGGAATGGCTGAGATTCCGTAACAACACACACACACACACACACACACACACACACACACACACACACACACACACACACACACACACACACACACACACACTGGGTGCGTACTCAGAGTGTCTCGCTGTGCCTATCACAGACACGTGCAACCTCCCAAATACCATGATTTGGCAGCTCACTCAAGATTACCGCACTTGTTAGAATCCTAAAGCCTGCCTGATATTTATAATATACAGTGATATACGAAACTCTGTTTCTAGCAAATAGAAAGTCTATGTATGTGAAGAAAGGTGAGGCGAAGATTACCCCGTGACATTGAGAAAATCCACACAGACTAGAAGAAGACTTTGCTGGGAGTTGCGAAAATCTGTGTGTCTAATTTACTGGACTGCCCTGTTAGGGTACAGGCGTGCATGGGTACACATGTATTTCTTGGCGTGCTCGTCACGACAATGCCAGTGTACAGTTCGTTTACAATTCGGAGTTGAATGTATCTGGTGCTGTGCTGCGCTGCTCCCGGTTGCCAGGTTGTCCAAGAAGCCCTGGATGTGGCACGGCAAGGTCGTACCAGCATAGTCATTGCTCACCGCTTGTCCACCATACAGAATGCCAACAAGATTATTGTCCTCGGCGGTGGACAGGTTCTGGAGCAGGGTACACATTCTGAACTGATGGCAACGGAGGGAGCGTACTACAAACTGAACGCTGCACAAGAGGACAACGAGGGAGCTACGTTGGCTTGATGCGCGTACACACGTTACCAAGCACGCCATTGCTGTGACAGCACTGATCACTGTGACACACTTCAGACTCGACGTTCGGTGCTTTGCCCCAGGTTTGCCAGACGAGCATACGTTCTGTGATGAGAATGGCTGTTTCCCAACAGTGCAGGGCCTTTCTAAATGGATCTCAGTTATCGTTGTGCAGTGATCGATCAGCGTGTAGGTACTGGTGAGCAAGCCGCATTTTCTCAGTCCATGTGGGCTGTACAATGTTGAACTAGTCTTTTGTTGAGCTCAACGTCCTTCCTGGATCGTTGGCGGTAACTAATCAAACCGAATGACAAATATAGTATATTAAGTAGGCACAAGTCATAATCGCTGCATGCTTTGGACGAACTGGCAGGCGTGCTTTTCCGCGCTACAATACTTGGATTTTCTATAACTATTATTATGGCAACTCTTTTCTAATTGGTTCCGGTCCCGCATCAATCTCCATGCTGCAGCATTGTGTTGTTCATTACTGGTGCACTCATCTTCATCTGTCTTTTTACATGTTATGATGCAGCTTTGTGATGGTTTAGAACCATTCAAGCATGACCTGATTATTCCAGGCATATTCGACACACACACACACTCACACACACACACACACACACACACACACACACACACACACACACACACACACACACACACACACACACACACACACACACTTCATTCGCTTCCTGAATTCATGCTCATGGCTCCAACTTCGAGCCCAACAGCACTAGATTCACATGGACACTCTGTGTCATACTGTACTTCAAGTACTTCCTTGCTTGATACTCGACAACTCTCTTTTCTGTATTGCATGCTCTTGCTGCCCCATATTGCCGCACTGAACTGATAGATTATGCTTGACGGTTGACATAATTATAATTTTGTGACTATGAAATGTGACTGCATCTTCATAATTCATGTACTTCTTTTTCTTGATGACGAATTCTCCTATTCCTGATTTGTATACTTGAAGTGGGATGTTAGAGTAGGAACTCTACAGAACAGTAATTATGCCGGTATGCCATTTTGCTAGTCGTTTCTGCATTAATTTTTGTTGGACATTGCTATTCCAGCAGGTTTGCGGAGCGAGTCAAAGCGATGACCGCAATGTGTTAGCTAGCCATGGCGGAGAGAAGGAAGATGATAGTTAAATTCGAATGGCATTATGCCTGCCACACATGCAGTGCTGTGGTCTGGGGTGAGTTTGTTCTAAACACATTGATGTCTGCATGGCCATATGGGTGAGTGACACCATTCCAGTATTGCGTACTCTTTCTTACTACCGGTACAAGTACCTGACTTTTTGGCAATCAAGCTATTGTATGAAAATTTAAGCTACCAAACTAATGATGTGCATTCGCTGTTCTCTTTCTCTCTGAGTGGCCACAGCGATGTCCTTGAGTTGGATGGATGCCTGCAAGGAACAATATGAGCATTCTGTTCCTGTTTCTCACATTCCTCCCAACTCATTCTGCAGCAGTGTGGCAAGCACACTGGACTAGTGGTCTAGAACCTGTTGTGGTGTGCTAAGCAGTGAGGTCTGTCCGTTGGATACTCGGGCCACTCCTCCGGAATGGTATGCGCCTGTAAAGCTCTGCTTCGGTGCATGGATAAACTAGACACACTCAGAGTCAGGCGGGCCAGCTCGACACAACGGAGAATGCAGTGCAACCACCCTGTGCAGGTATGTAACACTTAGTATAACTGTTGACTATACCAATAATGTTAACGTCATGCAAATATCGAGCCCCATAAAGTGAATTATATACTTGTAAGTCACACAACATGATCACCCTAGTTGCTCATAGCAAACCCATTAGGGGCCGTCCGTAAATATCGATGTTTTTTTCAAGACGAGATTTGTTAATTTCTCCCCAGACCCCCTCCCTCCCCCCTCAAAACGAACATACACATGTTTATGCAAGGATCGATATTTTTTAATGAAGTTCAATTTCCTCATGAAACGTGACCAGCTGCCACTCTAATTTCACCATACACCTAGGTTTCTGTTGCCACGGTCGCACAACCTTGCCATGGCTATGCTCACGAGGTTGACTTTCACTTTGTGTAGGTCATAAACTACATGTTCGAACAGCGCCCGTCCATAGATAGAGTTCGATATTTTTTTTCTGCAGAGACGAGACGAACAGGGCCCAAACCCCCTCCCCCCCCCCCCCCCAAACGAACGAATATCTTCTCTAAAAAAACATCGATATTTATGGACGACCCCTTACTACAAAGTCTTCTTGTGTTTAAAAGATATTCTTTAGCATACACTGTAGTTGGAACAGGATTTTTGTGCCTAAAAGTGGCAGAAACGGGGTACGGTTTGAGACGGAATGATAGAGGCCAATAGTAGACTCAATACCGGAGAGTGAAAACAGATGTCTACATGGTGTACTTGGACCAGCACTAACCTACGGCAGTGAAAAACATGAAGTGTGCTGGTTCTCAGCTTTACAAAAAGAATTGACAATATTGTGAAGAATAAAGATAAGAGTGGTTGGAGTGACTGACACTAGCTATTATTGTCAACCCGATAATCAACAGTATGACAACTGATAATAGAATCTACATAGCCACACTGGGTGTTCCAAGCACACACACTGGTGTGACTTGGGATGGAAAAAACAGCAGAACACTGGCTGCAAGGCCAAGGGGGAGATTGCATAGCATGAGCGCAAAATTAGGTGGTGATGGATAAAATAAATAAATTATAATAATGTTGGAATGTTGGTACGTACACGCAGGCATAGTGGGAAGGTCTAAGACAGGGAGTCGTATATATACGACTCCCTGGTCTAAGACTATGATCGAGAAACAGAGGGTGGTAGCAACCTGGGTGATAACTTTATAGGAAAATTGGCTGCTCCCCACCCACCCTGGAGAATGCGCGACCTCCAGTGTGGGTAGCAGCCAATTTTCCTGGTACGTGTAGTGTAGGGGTAAAGAGAAAATTTCTTCTACCACCACCACCGCTGCGACTCCACCGTACTCTACCGGCTGACACACTTGACGGCCACGGGTAGCGTTTTCAGGCAGTGTGCGGAGGTATAACGAAATATCTCAAGTGAGGCCATCATGTGAGGTATTATCATATTTAGAACATCATTGTATCATGCTGTCTATGCCCGCTTGGTTTGCACTAGACTAGAGGGATGCTGATAGGATAAATGCAAGTGCTACTTCAAGTATGTAAGTACCGACTAACGTGACTACTAGACACTGTACACACCTGATTGCTTTGCCCGCTGTTTCAAACAACAAAACCCAATGCGGATGCGCTTGCAAAGTCAATGAAAGATAATCCCACTCTGCTCGACGCATGCACGTGCATCAAGCCAACGTAGCTCCCTCGTTGTCCTCTTGTGCAGCGTTCAGTTTGTAGTACGCTCCCTCCTTTGCCATCAGTTCAGAGTGTGTACCCTGCTCCAGAACCTGTCCACCACCGAGGACAATAATCTTGTCGGCATTCTGTATGGTGGACAAGCGGTGAGCAATGACTATGCTGGTACGGCCTTGCCGTGCAACATCCAGGGCTTCTTGCACAACCTGGCAGGGAGCAGCGCAGCACAACCAAACATCCCACGTCAGTAACATAAACAAACTCGACACACAACACTACTAGGCGTATCATGATCATATAATTAATAGCATCAGAAGTGCCTCCAAACTCGGCACCCTCCTGTCGCAACAAACACGGCAACACATGTTTGTCCACTACAATACTGCACTAGCACCCGGCATAGTACACCGTCACCGCATACCAAGACACCCGGCATAGTACACAGTCACCGCATACCAAGGCACCCGGCATAGTACACCGTCACCGCATACCAAGGCACCCGGCATAGTACACCGTCACCGCATACCAAGGCACCCGGCATAGTACACCGTCACCGCATACCAAGGCACCCGGCATAGTACACAGTCACCGCATACCAAGGCACCCGGCATAGTACACCGTCACCGCATACCAAGGCACCCGGCATAGTACACCGTCACCGCATACCAAGGCACCCGGCATAGTACACCGTCACCGCATACCAAGGCACCCGGCATAGTACACAGTCACCGCATACCAAGGCACCCGGCATAGTACACCGTCACCGCATACCAAGGCACCCGGCATAGTACACAGTCACCGCATACCAAGGCACCCGGCATAGTACACCGTCACCGCATACCAAGGCACCCGGCATAGTACACCGTCACCGCATACCAAGGCACCCGGCATAGTACACCGTCACCGCATACCAAGGCACCCGGCATAGTACACAGTCACCGCATACCAAGGCACCCGGCATAGTACACCGTCACCGCATACCAAGGCACCCGGCATAGTACACCGTCACCGCATACCAAGGCACCCGGCATAGTACACCGTCACCGCATACCAAGACACCCGGCATAGTACACAGTCACCGCATACCAAGGCACCCGGCATAGTACACAGTCACCGCATACCAAGGCACCCGGCATAGTACACCGTCACCGCATACCAAGGCACCCGGCATAGTACACCGTCACCGCATACCAAGGCACCCGGCATAGTACACAGTCACCGCATACCAAGGCACCCGGCATAGTACACCGTCACCGCATACCAAGGCACCCGGCATAGTACACCGTCACCGCATACCAAGGCACCCGGCATAGTACACCATCACCGCATACCAAGGCACCCGGCATAGTACACCGTCACCGCATACCAAGGCACCCGGCATAGTACACCGTCACCGCATACCAAGGCACCCGGCATAGTACACCGTCACCGCATACCAAGGCACCCGGCATAGTACACCGTCACCGCATACCAAGGCACCCGGCATAGTACACCGTCACCGCATACCAAGGCACCCGGCATAGTACACAGTCACCGCATACCAAGGCACCCGGCATAGTACACAGTCACCGCATACCAAGGCACCCGGCATAGTACACCGTCACCGCATACCAAGGCACCCGGCATAGTACACCGTCACCGCATACCAAGGCACCCGGCATAGTACACCGTCACCGCATACCAAGGCACCCGGCATAGTACACCGTCACCGCATACCAAGGCACCCGGCATAGTACACAGTCACCGCATACCAAGGCACCCGGCATAGTACACAGTCACCGCATACCAAGGCACCCGGCATAGTACACCGTCACCGCATACCAAGGCACCCGGCATAGTACACCGTCACCGCATACCAAGGCACCCGGCATAGTACACCGTCACCGCATACCAAGGCACCCGGCATAGTACACCGTCACCGCATACCAAGGCACCCGGCATAGTACACAGTCACCGCATACCAAGGCACCCGGCATAGTACACCGTCACCGCATACCAAGGCACCCGGCATAGTACACCGTCACCGCATACCAAGGCACCCGGCATAGTACACAGTCACCGCATACCAAGGCACCCGGCATAGTACACCGTCACCGCATACCAAGGCACCCGGCATAGTACACCGTCACCGCATACCAAGGCACCCGGCATAGTACACCGTCACCGCATACCAAGGCACCCGGCATAGTACACCGTCACCGCATACCAAGGCACCCGGCATAGTACACCGTCACCGCATACCAAGGCACCCGGCATAGTACACCGTCACCGCATACCAAGGCACCCGGCATAGTACACCGTCACCGCATACCAAGGCACCCGGCATAGTACACCGTCACCGCATACCAAGGCACCCGGCATAGTACACCGTCACCGCATACCAAGGCACCCGGCATAGTACACCGTCACCGCATACCAAGGCACCCGGCATAGTACACCGTCACCGCATACCAAGGCACCCGGCATAGTACACCGTCACCGCATACCAAGGCACCCGGCATAGTACACCGTCACCGCATACCAAGGCACCCGGCATAGTACACCGTCACCGCATACCAAGGCACCCGGCATAGTACACCGTCACCGCATACCAAGGCACCCGGCATAGTACACCGTCACCGCATACCAAGGCACCCGGCATAGTACACCGTCACCGCATACCAAGGCACCCGGCATAGTACACCGTCACCGCATACCAAGGCACCCGGCATAGTACACCGTCACCGCATACCAAGGCACCCGGCATAGTACACCATCACCGCATACCAAGGCACCCGGCATAGTACACCGTCACCGCATACCAAGGCACCCGGCATAGTACACCGTCACCGCATACCAAGGCACCCGGCATAGTACACCGTCACCGCATACCAAGGCACCCGGCATAGTACACCATCACCGCATACCAAGGCACCCGGCATAGTACACCGTCACCGCATACCAAGGCACCCGGCATAGTACACCGTCACCGCATACCAAGGCACCCGGCATAGTACACCGTCACCGCATACCAAGGCACCCGGCATAGTACACCGTCACCGCATACCAAGGCACCCGGCATAGTACACCGTCACCGCATACCAAGGCACCCGGCATAGTACACCGTCACCGCATACCAAGGCACCCGGCATAGTACACCGTCACCGCATACCAAGGCACCCGGCATAGTACACCGTCACCGCATACCAAGGCACCCGGCATAGTACACCGTCACCGCATACCAAGGCACCCGGCATAGTACACCGTCACCGCATACCAAGGCACCCGGCATAGTACACCATCACCGCATACCAAGGCACCCGGCATAGTACACCGTCACCGCATACCAAGGCACCCGGCATAGTACACCGTCACCGCATACCAAGGCACCCGGCATAGTACACCGTCACCGCATACCAAGGCACCCGGCATAGTACACCGTCACCGCATACCAAGGCACCCGGCATAGTACACCGTCACCGCATACCAAGGCACCCGGCATAGTACACCGTCACCGCATACCAAGGCACCCGGCATAGTACACCGTCACCGCATACCAAGGCACCCGGCATAGTACACCGTCACCGCATACCAAGGCACCCGGCATAGTACACCGTCACCGCATACCAAGGCACCCGGCATAGTACACCGTCACCGCATACCAAGGCACCCGGCATAGTACACCGTCACCGCATACCAAGGCACCCGGCATAGTACACCGTCACCGCATACCAAGGCACCCGGCATAGTACACCGTCACCGCATACCAAGGCACCCGGCATAGTACACCGTCACCGCATACCAAGGCACCCGGCATAGTACACCGTCACCGCATACCAAGGCACCCGGCATAGTACACCGTCACCGCATACCAAGGCACCCGGCATAGTACACCGTCACCGCATACCAAGGCACCCGGCATAGTACACCGTCACCGCATACCAAGGCACCCGGCATAGTACACCGTCACCGCATACCAAGGCACCCGGCATAGTACACCGTCACCGCATACCAAGGCACCCGGCATAGTACACCGTCACCGCATACCAAGGCACCCGGCATAGTACACCGTCACCGCATACCAAGGCACCCGGCATAGTACACCGTCACCGCATACCAAGGCACCCGGCATAGTACACCGTCACCGCATACCAAGGCACCCGGCATAGTACACCGTCACCGCATACCAAGGCACCCGGCATAGTACACCATCACCGCATACCAAGGCACCCGGCATAGTACACAGTCACCGCATACCAAGGCACCCGGCATAGTACACCGTCACCGCATACCAAGGCACCCGGCATAGTACACCGTCACCGCATACCAAGGCACCCGGCATAGTACACCGTCACCGCATACCAAGGCACCCGGCATAGTACACCATCACCGCATACCAAGGCACCCGGCATAGTACACCGTCACCGCATACCAAGGCACCCGGCATAGTACACCGTCACCGCATACCAAGGCACCCGGCATAGTACACCATCACCGCATACCAAGGCACCCGGCATAGTACACCGTCACCGCATACCAAGGCACCCGGCATAGTACACAGTCACCGCATACCAAGGCACCCGGCATAGTACACCGTCACCGCATACCAAGGCACCCGGCATAGTACACCGTCACCGCATACCAAGGCACCCGGCATAGTACACCGTCACCGCATACCAAGACACCCGGCATAGTACACCGTCACCGCATACCAAGGCACCCGGCATAGTACACCGTCACCGCATACCAAGGCACCCGGCATAGTACACCGTCACCGCATACCAAGGCACCCGGCATAGTACACCGTCACCGCATACCAAGGCACCCGGCATAGTACACCGTCACCGCATACCAAGGCACCCGGCATAGTACACCGTCACCGCATACCAAGGCACCCGGCATAGTACACCGTCACCGCATACCAAGGCACCCGGCATAGTACACCGTCACCGCATACCAAGGCACCCGGCATAGTACACCGTCACCGCATACCAAGGCACCCGGCATAGTACACCGTCACCGCATACCAAGGCACCCGGCATAGTACACCGTCACCGCATACCAAGGCACCCGGCATAGTACACCATCACCGCATACCAAGGCACCCGGCATAGTACACAGTCACCGCATACCAAGGCACCCGGCATAGTACACCGTCACCGCATACCAAGGCACCCGGCATAGTACACCGTCACCGCATACCAAGGCACCCGGCATAGTACACCGTCACCGCATACCAAGGCACCCGGCATAGTACACCGTCACCGCATACCAAGGCACCCGGCATAGTACACCATCACCGCATACCAAGGCACCCGGCATAGTACACCGTCACCGCATACCAAGGCACCCGGCATAGTACACCATCACCGCATACCAAGGCACCCGGCATAGTACACCGTCACCGCATACCAAGGCACCCGGCATAGTACACAGTCACCGCATACCAAGGCACCCGGCATAGTACACCGTCACCGCATACCAAGGCACCCGGCATAGTACACCGTCACCGCATACCAAGGCACCCGGCATAGTACACCGTCACCGCATACCAAGACACCCGGCATAGTACACCGTCACCGCATACCAAGGCACCCGGCATAGTACACCGTCACCGCATACCAAGGCACCCGGCATAGTACACCGTCACCGCATACCAAGACACCCGGCATAGTACACCGTCACCGCATACCAAGGCACCCGGCATAGTACACCGTCACCGCATACCAAGGCACCCGGCATAGTACACCGTCACCGCATACCAAGGCACCCGGCATAGTACACCGTCACCGCATACCAAGGCACCCGGCATAGTACACCGTCACCGCATACCAAGGCACCCGGCATAGTACACCGTCACCGCATACCAAGGCACCCGGCATAGTACACCGTCACCGCATACCAAGGCACCCGGCATAGTACACCGTCACCGCATACCAAGGCACCCGGCATAGTACACCGTCACCGCATACCAAGGCACCCGGCATAGTACACCGTCACCGCATACCAAGGCACCCGGCATAGTACACCGTCACCGCATACCAAGGCACCCGGCATAGTACACCGTCACCGCATACCAAGGCACCCGGCATAGTACACCGTCACCGCATACCAAGGCACCCGGCATAGTACACCGTCACCGCATACCAAGGCACCCGGCATAGTACACCGTCACCGCATACCAAGGCACCCGGCATAGTACACCGTCACCGCATACCAAGACACCCGGCATAGTACACCGTCACCGCATACCAAGGCACCCGGCATAGTACACCGTCACCGCATACCAAGACACCCGGCATAGTACACCGTCACCGCATACCAAGGCACCCGGCATAGTACACCGTCACCGCATACCAAGACACCCGGCATAGTACACCGTCACCGCATACCAAGGCACCCGGCATAGTACACCGTCACCGCATACCAAGACATACACCGTCAACGCATACCAAGACAAGCTCGCAGCACCTACACAGTACACCTCGACACAGGACACATAATCACCTGTAACAATGGTGAATGCATAGCCAAAGCATTGTGCACAGCCACCTATCACCAAAGAGTTATTGTGATAAATGCAACATACCAACGGTAGTCGCCATACCGCAACACCGATGTGACAAGTTTCACATCGTCCAACATGCCTGTACTCACTCTTTCACTCTCCGTGTCCAGAGCACTGGTGGCTTCATCCAGCAAGAGAATCTTGGGATTGCGGATCAGTGCTCGGGCAATGGCCACGCGCTGTTTCTGGCCACCGGACAGCTGTGTACCTTTGGCACCTACATTGGTGTCGTAGCCCTGATACACGACGACACACACACACACACATACACACATACACACACACACACACACACATACACACACACACACACACACACACACACACACACACAACATACATACACACACAGATGCAAGTTGATGCAACATGACATACACAGAGACCCACACATCACACACACACATCACCTTGAACCTTGAACCTTGAACGTGCCCATTGCCGATGGCAATGATAGCGAAGGGACTATCCGCTAGCTTTGCAGTACGGAGCGTGGCGCTTGAGGTCCCCGGGACGACGGCAGACCTTTCCACATGCGCAGCGGAAGCCAGAGTCAGGATCAGGAGGAGCACGGGCGGGAGGACGACGATGAGCGATCTGCCTCCAGACAGAGCGATCCTGGGCAGCATCAAACCAGCAGTCAGAAGGCACAGGGGGGCTGATGGAGCGGAGATCATCCACGATGACGTCACGCCACCGCTTGCGTGGACCATGGCGAGGGCGTGTTGCAGGGAGCTCCCCAAACAAAACTCGCTTCGGCATGCGGTCGTCGTTCATCCGGCCAACATGGCCAAGCCAACGCAGTCGATATTCCCGGATGATGTCCGCGACGTCACAGTCAATGCCGAGGGTTCGGGCCATGGTAACCGAGGTGACGCGGTTGTCCCACTGGTCCCGCCTGGATACGCCAACGACGATGCGAACACACTGGTGATGAAAGGTGTTGAGAGAGCGCAGGTCCGGTGCCTTCGGCGTCCACGTCTCTGCTCCGTACAGGAGGGTCGTCAGCACAAGGGCGATGTACACACATCACACACACACACACACACACACACACACACACACACACACACACACACACACACACACACACACACACACGCATACATGTGTGTGTGCGTGGGTGTTCATGGCACATGTACCACATAACGATCCCATGTACGTGTACACCCGATCATAACATGCTTTGATGGACCTGGTCACATGGTTTGGTCACAGGTTACTTTGTCTGTCAAATCCAACCTGGAATTATGCTGCTGGATGACATCAGAGAATGACACAGAGGCAGTGCACGGCCTTAACCTTCTAGAGTGCTCAATGCCGGTGTGATGGGCACAGCTACGCAGTACACATGAGCTACACAAGGTACATTGAGCTACACAAGGTACATTGAGGTGCACAAGGTACATTGAGGTGCACAAGGTACATTGAGGTGCACAAGGTACATTGAGGTGCACAAGGTACATTGAGCCTCGGGTGCACAAGGTACATTGAGGTGCACAAGGTACATTGAGGTGCACAAGGTACATTGAGGTGCACAAGGTACATTGAGGTGCACAAGGTACATTGAGGTGCACAAGGTACATTGAGGTGCACAAGGTACATTGAGGTGCACAAGGTACATTGAGGTGCACAAGGTACATTGAGGTGCACAAGGTACATTGAGGTGCACAAGGTACATTGAGGTGCACAAGGTACATTGAGGTGCACAAGGTACATTGAGGTGCACAAGGTACATTGAGGTGCACAAGGTACATTGAGGTGCACAAGGTACATTGAGGTGCACAAGGTACATTGAGGTGCACAAGGTACATTGAGGTGCACAAGGTACATTGAGGTGCACAAGGTACATTGAGGTGCACAAGGTACATTGAGGTGCACAAGGTACATTGAGGTGCACAAGGTACATTGAGGTGCACAAGGTACATTGAGGTGCACAAGGTACATTGAGGTGCACAAGGTACATTGAGGTGCACAAGGTACATTGAGGTGCACAAGGTACATTGAGGTGCACAAGGTACATTGAGGTGCACAAGGTACATTGAGGTGCACAAGGTACATTGAGGTACACATGAGCTACACGAAGTACATTGAGGTACACATGAGTGAGATACATCTATTTTTTCTCCACCCAACACTGTGCAGATGGTGGGCCTCAAAGAACATAACTAAACGCAGTGTAGATAAATGCTGCTCTCCAGTTCCACATACGATATTCTCCTGCATACACCCACTACACTGTGCAGTACACGTGACAGTACACAGTGCAACTCACTTTAGGCAATGTTGTGATGAAGTCGTGGATGTTGGCTTTCTTTGCCATTTCCTGAATGGTCTCCATGCTGACTGGCCCATCACCGAGAGCGCCGTACGCAATGTTGTCCGCAATGCTGGTGTCAAACAATATCGGCTCCTGCTGCACAAGACCCATCTGCTGGCGAAGCCATTTCAAGTTCAGCGTGCGGATGTCTTGCCCGTCAAGATTCTGCCAAGACAATAATACAGATGAACACAAAAAGCACTATTCACTTGTGCTTGGCTCTCTCGTAAACTAGATATCTGTTGTTTGGCATCATACCACAAACTAAGACTTAGTAATTTCACTGACTTGACTTGGATACGACTGCGTACTTTCTTTCTTTTTTCTCTACAAAATCCACATGTCTCCAGACACTGGGGTGAATAATGGAGTGTGGTGGTGGGGCCCATTAAGCTCAGCCGACCCGAGGTCTCGGCTTCATTGCTCCATTGACGACTGCACTACATAGCAATGGATGAATGCACTGGTATTGTATTTCAACAGGCCAGTGGTGAAAGCTTACCACATTGCCCGCCTCAGGGTCATAGAATCTCTCCAGCAGTGACACACTGGTGCTCTTGCCGCAGCCAGACTGCCCTACAAGTGCAATGGTCTGACCGTGGTTGGCTGTGATGGTCGTGTCCTGCAGGACTTCAACGTCGGGACGTGTCGGATAACGGAATCGGATGTTCGTCAGCTCTATGTTGCCAGCAACTGTGTCCTGCAGGAGAGAATGAACGCACATGGTATACCGCTATGTACATGTACTTTGGAAGTAGGTGTACGTGTTTAAAGCTGTCAGTGAAGTTGAACACATTATTAAGTAGACTTGTACACCATGTGCGGTTCATCCACCGTCCGTAGTAGAGGGCTCAATTTTCCGAAGGCAAAGAGCGGAATACACAGACAGAAGAACGAGCAGGTGCGGTTTCGTAACTCTGAGTTTCACGAACTGAATCGGTCATCAGACGAAAATTAGTATATTGGTATACCTGTACATAATCAATCTCGGGACAGCTAGCTGTTTCGACCGTGTTACTTCAAGTGAGTCTCATCACCGGAGCTGAGCATGGTATACATATACATGTAGCCACTCTCACTCTCTGGACAGCTAGCTGTGTTTCCCCCTTGTTCGGTCTCATCAGTCGAGCTCAGAGCAATGGGGCAAAGCTATCGCAGTGAAGCCTGATGAACACGGACCAACATAGCATTTCAAATCGGCTCAAGGCCTCAACGTCATGTTGGTATGTACTGACGTTCAGCAAATGTGTCAGTAAATTGGAAACAATGAAGGTGGTTTATACCCTGGTACGGCTTGGAACCTGCCAAATCCGGTGACCCATCCTCGTGTGGTATGTCACATAAAGATTGTTGTTTTGCATATCGCCCACTTCTAATGTACAGACCCAGTATGAGTTGTACATGCATTCCAGCCAGTGAAGAACAGTGAAGAACAAAGAACCCCATCGCACTGCAAACAAGTTGAGGAACAACTCGACTTACTGGTTGTGAGCCCTCCGTCGATTCGGAGTCTATCTCTGGCACCGTGTCAATCAAATGCAGGATCCTGGACGCCGCACTCGCCGCTTTCTTCAGGTCCGGCGCTAGTCCCGACGCCTCGCCCAGTGAAAAGGATGCAAAGAGCATGGCCCCGAAAACCCTACGAGAAACAGAGATGGAGACATGTGTGTGAGTGCCGGTGGTGGCCGACTAGTCGGATATGAAGGACCTTGCACCAGAGACCGACAGCACACTGACAGCCAATAGTGTTTAGTAGAAGCGGTGGATTTGAGAAGGGTCGTTACAACTCTAGATCTTGCCTTGTATCCGACTGTGGAAGTGTCATGGTAGCTTGCAAACGATACTGTCAGCAGAACAACAAGTACAATGCCAGTACCGTATTTAACCTAGAGAATAATATCAATGCTTACTGAAACACATCTTCGAAACTTTCCCCGTGCTCCTTGATGAGGTAACCACCGAAGCTGAACGTAATGGCGTACACGAAGAAGAATGTAGCTTCACCGAAACCGAATGCCAGTCCAATTATGTGTCGATTGCGCTTTGCAGCACTAGAAAAAACAATAACAGCCAGTAGAAAAGCGAAAACACCAGACAAATAGCAACGCAAGAACAAACGCTGGCAGGAAGGAAGGCTAAAGTGGTACGGAAACTGCAGATGATTGACATCATTTCAACTCACTGATGAAGCAGACAGGACTTGTAACGTCCTAAAACTATTTTGTTTCAAATGTTATATCTAGACAACCGGTAACCATGTTACTGCTACAGTTGCGCTCACTGAAATCCGACCCAAAGTGCAAAACTGAGGCCCTGGACCAGCTGTTCCGATTACATCACTGTACTTGTACATGGGTACGTCCAGCCGCATTCGTACCACTTCCAGGGCGTCAAAGGGCCGTATAAGTTGAGGGCGCCAAATATGCACGTTGGGTCGGATTTCACCGAGCACAACTGTACTACCCTAGCCAGTGTCTAGACTTACATGTGGAGTGGCTCCAGGACATCCATGTATCTAGCAACGGCACGGTCTTCAAGTCCAAGCGACGCCACCGTGCGAATATTATCCACATACTCGATAGCCAGCTACAGCAGGAGAATAGAATCAACGGACTTTGGGTGTTAGTAGCAAGTATTTTCAAATGTTTAGTCGGCAAATTGCCATTATGTACCAAAAGGCTATTTTGCAAATATCCGTGTGTGTGTGTGTGTTTGTTTGTGGGTGTGTGTGTGTGTGTGTGTTTGAGAGAGAGAGAGAGAGAGAGAGAGAGAGAGAGAGAGAGAGAGAGCACAGAACAGGTAGCCTAACCTTTCCAGAAGTGATCTGTTCCGGTCGATTAGCAGCACTGAAACCAGCCAGCGCTTGGTACTGGATAGCAGCACCAGCTACAACCAGCGGTAAGACTCCCAGCAGCACCAGCGTCAGCTGCCACGAAGCAATGAAACTGATGACAAGCGCGGCGACCAAGGTGGCGATGAACTGATTTCCTGATGCCAGCTTAGCACCGGTAGCCTAGAGCAGAAAACAAAGAGCATACTATTTAGCAAAGGTAGCAGGTGGATGGTCTTTGGCTGTAGCGTTCTTGATGCGGATGGTGGCTCTCCTGCGCATACGTGTCGCTCAGAGGTAAAGGTCACATACTGATAGAGGGATACTAAGCATGTTTAGCTCCACTGACTAAGAAGTTCTCAGTGATCACGGTGACACACTGTACACAGCTCAGACATGCAGATCACTGAGTACAGGTAAGGTTAGACTTACTCCCTGGATTAGAGCTGCATCCGCTGACAGCTGAGTAGCTAATGCCCCAGTGCTGTGCTTCTTCTCATCAAAGAATCCAATATTCTGCACAGGTAGTACAATGACAGAATGACAGACGAAGACAGAGAGGGTGAGCGGGGGCAGAAGAAACTCAGCTAACAATGCGACGTACACCGCTGCAATGTAGATCTGAATACTAACCAGCATAGTGCAAGCACTTCACAGAGACTTCCAAGAATCATGAGAACAAATGGTGAACGTGCAGGTAGCTTTAGCTTTTTGATCAAATTGGACGATCCGTTCTTTATATTATCTCATCTGGCTATAGCAAAAACAGGCAGTCCATATACCCGGATTGTGGGCCATCTGCACAAGCATAACTGCTGGCTACATCTATTGTGGAGCCCCAAACCAGCCACATCTGTACCCGTATGTCCCTGTCTTCCTGGCACATAACCCAATGCAAACATCCCCATTGTTTTGGACGCGTGTCTTTTGTTCCTCTCTTCTCTGCTACTGTATTCTCTCTGCCTCTTTCTCGCTATTCTCTACTATTATTTAGGTGTGTCCTGTCTGCAGTGACGCCAAGATATTAATTGTCGGCAGATTACCACTGAAGGTTCCACTACCGCTCAGGAGTATGTGTTTATGTGGAAAGCAATCCGTGTTGAGTGCTGCAATCATGGATCCCCCTGCTGGTTTCCGAACATTGTAGATAGCTCACCTTTCTTAGCATTGCTCTGAACAGCATACTCCTCATGCGCTTTGTCAAGGCCTCGCCGGATATAGCAAAGGTCAAATACTGGATGGGCACACGGACAAACAGCACACAGTACTGTAAGACAGAGATATGCTGGATACTGGAAATGGCTAGTGTAAAAAAAAAACTCCATTCCTACTATGAAGGTAAAATTTACACTTCACTGAGACATGAAAACAGTTCAAAACACTTCTACAGAAGACGTGCTGATTCCCAGTTCTAGGTCGTTCTCTGGCATGCATAGGCCCCAGGAATGATGAGCCGGATACTTTTGCATTTGATTGTACTTCGGGAGTCTCGATTTAGGAAAGGTTGGGTCTTTCGTACTTTCAAGGTGCCATAAGTACAACACAATGCCTGAGACATTTGCATACATTACATCCCCATGCAAGTTTACGTCATTTCTGGGGTCTATACGTGTCAGAGAACATCTTGGAACAGAGACAACAGCACTTCTTCTGCATACACTCTCACCAATACCAGAAGCATGCTAGAACTGAGGAAACGCAACATGCGGCACTGAAGTACAACGGTTCTATGGTGCAAGAGTGTGACTGCCATGCGCCTCACCGCAAACCCACCTGCAAGATGATGACAATAAGAGACGATAAACCCAGCACGGCGAAAATGCCCGACCAGAGTCCAGCCTGCTCCTTGTATTCGTCCTCCTTGTTCGGATTGCCAACAAAGCGGAATATCTACAAACAGAACACATCATGAAGAAACACAAGAGACATTTGGAAAAGATATGCTCGAATTTGGGATACGGTGCAGAGAGGAGACAAGCACACTGTGCGACATCCCAGTCGCATACATGACGTGTACTATCCTTGCACATTGCGTGACATCCCGGAGTCATGTGACCACACATACATGTACTATCCTTGCCGGCTGTCAGTCTGTTTGTCAGAATATTGTTAGGCTAGACCTGCCTGAGCTCCCGGATAGTAGGTAATCAAATGGTTACATTGCTGCATGATAATACCCCCAAGCGCCTGCTTAGTGAATGCTGCCAGAGCAATTATTTCTTTCAAATGCCTAACAGTTACCCATGTGTGCATCAACAAAGTCTGTAGACTCAACTGTTGAAACTTCTCAGGGTGTTAACGGTTGCGGGGTCTCTCTGTCTCTGCTCAGTGCCGTGGGTGTTATGCGCCATTAGGACCTGCTCTGGACTTACATTCAAGATCTTGGAGAAGACAACGCCAAACAGTGGGAACAGCACACCGTTGGCCATGGCACACACGGATCCGAGTGCCATCCAGGGAAACTCTGGTTTGTTGTAGCCGAATAGTCGAAACGTTGACACCTCCGGGTACACCTCCTCCTCCTCCTCTTCCTTTTCCTCCGCGTCGTCTTTGCCCTGGAGTTGCAGAGCCGTGAGGTAAGTAGTACACATTATCAAATGTGCAGAATGACAATTAGTCCTGATTGTGGTACATGTAGTTAAGTGTCGTCATGTTTCTTGTTGACAAACTTGCGGCAACCGACAGTTAGCTGGCGAGGAGAAAGACCTCTATGATTCGATACGAGAGTGGTGAGGACAAATGGCAACCAGTAAACTCTGCGCATAGTTAATTCCTCTTCATGCCAGAAGATCACAGCTCACTGGCATTGCCACGATGCCGGTTCATAAAAATTAACGCTTCACGTGAGACGTGGTGAGATTGAGTTTTCCGCATCCGCAGTAACGTGACCACCCTCAAGGATCGAGGTGCAGATGCAGCTCCTGAAGTGGTGGGAGGTGAGTGGATCAGACTCAAATGCCGAAAACTTGATTCACTGCATGCTGGTTAGCATAACCACAAAGCCGTTGTGTGAATAAAAGGGCGGCTGATTGAGGTACAAGACGATGTGAGAGCTTACTTTACTGCCATCATCGAACCCGCCGCTTCTCGGTTTGTTGTCACCAAACAGCTTCTTGTGCTGAAATCCACCCCCCCCCCCCGAAATTCCACCTTGAAGATTAGATAGCATTGAAAACAGGCCCCGTTTGGACAAGGCGGATGATATTGCCCAAGACAGTGCAGTGTCTTCTCACCGTTTGAGTAGATTCGGTAACTGATTGCTGGCGCTCGGAAAGTTGCTTGGAAAGCTGCCGGTAGGCCTTGTCTTTGGCAGAGCTCTGCCGCACAGCGCCACTTTTGACTGGGCTGCTGGCAGTCTTAGACAGTGCACGCAGCATTTCCTCTGTGGGGAAGAAGTTATTGGACAGAACAAGACGGTAGTAGACACATCATTAGCAGCTGGTGAGACTCAGGAACATGATGTACATCATGAACACTCAGAACGACGTCCGTCGGCAAGTAGTACGGGCTGCACGGCGTGACCGACTTCTCCACGATATGCACCACCATAAAAATAGCGATGCCTACCAAACAAATACGAATAGAGAACTAGCCCTCTCACCTATTCAAGGAATTACTACAGCCATCACGTATAAGTACTATTGTGGTGTGGAGAGTTTTAGCTAAGTTCTCTTACCAGCTTCTTCTGTATTGCCCTTCTCGGCCTCAGCGACAGCAGCCTTTGGGCAACAAGCAACAGCCACACGCACGCACACGCACACACACACACGCGCGCGCACACACACACACACACACACACGCGTACGCACACACATACACACACACATACACATAGAGCAGCATCAGCACAAGCAGCAATGCGTACAGCGGACCCAATAGTCCCAATACCAGAGCCCGTGAGGGAGGCCGTGTGATGCAACTGAACATGGCAAGTGAAGTGTTTCTGCAGTGATACTAAGGTTCACATTCTTTCAACTAGAGTTTTCATGCTCACTGTCGGACTGACAGCCTGCGGAATGTGCCAGTCAAACCTTGATTAGTCGCAATCATGCTCTGCTGTAAATCACTAAGTCCTGCACCCAATACCACATTTACAGACAGAAATTGCCCAGCCCCCCCCCCCCCCCCCCCCGGCCTGGTATGAGACCAGCGTTGAACGGTCAGGCAGAATACTAGTACTCGTCCCTTCCTGACACACATACAATGTCGTGCTCAGCTGTATGCACATAGGCATGCTGTATGCACGCATGCATGCGCACACTCACTCACTCTCTCATACACACACGCACACACACGCACGCACACACACATACATACACACATGCTTATACATACAAACACAAACACACACCACACACACACGCACACAACACACACACACACACACACACACACACACAGATACACGCACGCACACACGCACACACACACACACACACACACACACACACACACACACACACATACATACATCCATACATACACACACGCTTATACATACAAACACACACACGCCATTGGACCATTGGACTCCCATCGCCAGAGGCGATGATAGCGATGCTACAGCAGAAGCCATAGCAGCTTGTGCTGGGATTGCACCATTCAACAGCTTGCAAGGCTGAAGTATTGGCCGCCACTATTCAGCCTGGTCTACACCACACAGCTATGAAGTGGCTTTTTCTGGCCAGTGAATCCCTAATTTTTGGTCTTTTTTATTTTTTCACGCACACACATCACACCGCATACAGTCTGTATCGGCTATAGCGTATCCTTTTGATTTCTGTGATTGTATCACTATAACCGATGCATCACTATATGCGATACGATCGATTTTTTTTCTTTTTTCGATTGACGCATGAAAGGCAAGGAGATACTTCCAGCTAGCATGGCGTTTTGACAAATGAGCATGCTGCATACATGTAGTTGACAATGTCCGCATTTCCATAAAAAAATCTGTTATGTACATGTACATGTATCACTATAAAAATAAGCAATGTGAAGAAAGTAAAAAAAAATAGGGCCTTTGATATTATTGCTACATGTATTTTTTACAAGTTACCACTATAGCCGATAACGAGAGAGCTTGGAAGCTCAGGGCCCTACGCTATGCTGTTTTGCCTTGATGACCTAGACAAAAAAAGCATAGGGATGTTATAAATTCTCATACATTTCTACTTTTTGTTTTTAAACATAATCTGGGATTCAAACCCGCACTATCGCCCTGCATGCATCCCCCCATACATTTCGCATACATACTAATTCTTCCAAGTTGCTTCACGTTATTCTCTTGATTTGAAAGCCCTATTTGAATATGCATTGTGGCCAGCCGTCTTTGATTGTACGGTACGGTACGGGACAGGTACGGGGCAGGTATGGGACAGGTACGGTCGAGGGTAATACGGCACCATCTACCGCCTTGATGACGGCAAAAAAAGAATAGAGATGTTATAAATTTTTCAATTTTCCTATTTTTCCAGGCATTACATGGGATTCGAACCCGCACTATCGCCCTACATGCATTCCCCCATGCACTTCGCATTCATACTCATTCTTCCAAGTTGCTTCACGTTATGATCTTGCGTTTGAAAGCCCTATTTGAATAGTGAGGCCAGCTGTATGTGGCCAGCTGTGTTTGATGGTACGGTACGGTACGGGACAGATACAGGATAGCGCCAGGCGTGACACAAACACACAAACACACAAACACCAAATTAAAGCTGTGTGGACCCTGGCTAGCGCCAGACGTTACTGAAGTAACGTCTTCTGCATAACTACGGGAATAATATAGTGTGTTATGCATGTTTTGATTCTTTGTTGCCATCATAATATCCGATATATCATTACATCCGATGATATTGGTTATAGTGATATTTTTACTGGATAAAATACGTTTTGCTTTTGATATTTCGTACCAATATCACTGTAAGTTAGCCTATATGTTCTTATATCCGGTCACTCTATAGCCGATACAGACTGTACTCCGGCATGCACTGGCTGTTGGTAACCACCCAGGAGAATGAAAGAAAAGTCAGGAAGAATCTGAGAAAGAGAAGAAAGACGTGTGTGACCATAATCGTCGGGAATCGAACCCGCAACCTATCGATTGGAAATCGCTGCACATACCACTGCACCATATGGGACACACACACACACACACACACACACACACACACACACACACACACACACACACACACACACACACACACACACACACACACACACACACACATACCATACCTGCATAGTAACAAGAGCATGGTACAAGCCGTCCTCTTTCTCCATCAGTTCACGATGCGTGCCCATCTCGGCCACCTTTCCGTCTTCCACCGCTACAATGCAGTCAGCATTCTGAATAGTGGATAAGCGGTGAGCTATGACGATAGTTGTTCTCCCAGCACGTGCCTAACATACAGTAAGATATGACGGGGAAACACGAAAGACAAATACTCACATGTCTGTTGACTACTTACTCATATCCCAACTGTGTTTGTACACAGACTGTGTAGATAACACAACAGAACCACAAGGACAATCAAGGCTTGTTTGCTGCTACTTCAAGTTTCATGCTCTCGCAATCATCAGGCAGCAGTGGTTCTGTTCTGTATTACGCTCTGCCTCCGCGGTGTTGAGCACTGTCGGCCGTGACACTGGGTACATTCTCCGGTAGACTGCGTAGATAACACAACAGCTCTGAACTCTGGCATTTCTCACTCCTAAAAGATGGTTGATTTCATGTAGAGACCAATCCCAGGCAAGCCCTGAATACGTACCAGTTCTTATGCTATGCACATACAGCGGCAGGATGAGTTTGTAAATGGACTTTTACACCAGTTTTAATTTAAAAGCACTGGATGGGCCATGGCCCGGTTGCATCTCACCGTGGTGGCGGGTGGCACTAGACTGAACAGTGCATAGCATTGTTTTGTGCTGCAAGGAAGTACAATGGTGCCAGAAAGGAACCGTGTATCTCTAGCAGTGAACGCCTGTCCCGGACACTTACTGCATCAAGAGCGGCCTGCACAGTGCGTTCACTCTCCGTGTCCAGTGCACTGGTGGCCTCGTCCAGTAAGAGAATCTTAGGATTGCGGATTAGAGCACGGGCGATGGCAATGCGCTGCTTCTGACCACCGGACATTTGAGCACCACGCTCACCGACTTGTGTTTCATAACCCTGGTAGCACAGACCAAACACACACACACACTTGTACTACTTGTACTTGTTGCTCACTGCCAAAACTGGTCACGTGGGTCTCCCCGGGAGAGGGGAGAGAGACTCAAAAGGAATCTTGGAAAGATGGCTCAATTGGCTATTGAACCGCCCAACGGCCGACACCCCCTGAAATCCCCAAAACTCTGGGTGGACTTGACACACACACACACACACACACACACACACACACACACACACACACACACACACACACACACACACAACACACACACATGGTACAAGATAGCATGGTCCGGGTCTAGAGGTCGCCAGTCGTAGAAGACACGTAGTTTTCTATTGCAGTGCAGGGTTGCTTTGCGCTGGAGATGTTCTTGCTAGTATTTGGGGCACAAACCACGGGGTGGATTTGGGTGAAATGTTCAGAGACGAAAACACGACTTCTGAACGATCTCTACCCCAGAAAATACTAGTCTACTGCTATTGGTATGCTCGGGGGAAGTAAATCATGATATTGTCTACCTCCTCCAACTCCTCCTACCCCCCCCCCCCCCTTCCACCCTACACTTGTTACCAACCATATCCACTTTGCTTACATCTGGGAAGTTCATTATGAAGCTATGTGCATTGGCCATCTTTGCTGCTGCAATGACATCGTCCCGAGTGACGTCTTTCAGAGATCCAAACGCAATATTGTTGGCAATCGTGTCCTGGAAGAGGATGGGTTCTTGGCTGACAATGCCAATTTGGCTGCGCAGCCACTTGATGTTGAGCGTACGAATGTCACGTCCATCCAGAGTTACCTAAACAGGTAGGAAACAGAAAATACACACGGTGCAATGGTCAACATGCCTTGCTCATCACATTTAACAAAGCACCAACGCACCAAGGCATGCAATGTCACGTGACCCCTGCACAACACTGGTGATGCTCCTAAGCCCAATAAATTCTTACCCTTCCGGACTCTGGATCATAAAATCTCTGAAGCAGTTGGATGCAAGTACTCTTGCCACAACCGCTGGGTCCAACTAGTGCCACAGTTGTTCCTTTTTTGATGTTCACCGACAATCCAGTTAGAACCTGCAGCAATGAAAATCAGAAATAAATGGCACTCGAAAGCTATTCCCGTTGGAAAAGATCAAGTCATGCAACTAGAAAATCACGCGGCACTGGATATTCTGCTACTATAGTAGTTGCCATGACAATACATACACATATGGGTGATTTCAAGGATGATGTGCGCACACACGTGCGCGCGCTTAACTTACACACACACATACACATACACACGCACATACACACATACACACGTATATACACACACACACACACACACACACTCACCGTAACGTCTTGCCTAGCGGGATACCGGAACCGCACGCCCTCAAACGAGATGTCTCCTTCCACATTCTCCAGCTTGTCTCCTGTATCAGATGCCGAGTTGATGATTGGCTCTTCATCAATGGTGTTGTAAATGGCTACCGCAGCACCACGCGCATTTGAAGACGCACGTATGCCTGGGGAAGCCGATCCAATTGCAAAACTTGCAGTGATGATGGAGAAGAAAGACTGCAGCAAACCGGGAGAGAAAGAAATCGGCATTCTTTTATCATCTACATGTAGTGATGTGTACCCATAAGAGGCCCTAATTCCACTGGGGGGGGGGGGGGGGGGGGGGGGAGGAGGATCTCCAGAATAGGCCCTAATTCCAGGGGAGCCCCAGACTGATAGGCCCTAATTCCATGGGGATCCCCAGAATAAACCCTTAATGCCTTATTCTTGGGGATCCCCAGTATAGGCTGTTTGTTGTTTGTTTATATTTAGAGTCGAAGAACAAACAGGCAAATGTGCCTAATGACATCGACTAGGTCTCCCTCTATTTCTCTGATATCCTACGAGACGTTCGGGGTCTGATCCCATTGCCCCACAAGGCACGATCCCGGCAGGAAACATCCCTAACCCCAGACAACTGCACCCGAACCTGGGGTACATCCCGGACCCAGCGCTGATGATCTGGTGGTGATCTCGTATGCCTTCATAACTGAGATATATCCATAAGCAACACTCTTGGCAAGAACGCTTCCATAATATGTGTGTGCACTTCAGAGTTCTTTTCCCTTCACAACTTCATCAAACAACTACTTGCGACTTCAACAAACACTGCAGTGTTTAAAATCTGTTTATGCCCTGACGGCCACATGTACAACACTGGCATTGCCAATGGTGTAAGTAACCCACCTCTTTTTTTCTTCCTCAGTGTGCATGCATGGCATTTCCTCCCAATATTATGAGCTCAGCATACAACAAGCATACGCATGCATGCATGCCCGCACTCACACGCACACACGCGCGCGCGCGCACACACACACACACACACACATGCACACACATGTACACACACACACGCACGCACACACAATGCACATACCGTCAGCATAGCTCCAGTTGTAATGGTCCCATCCCAGATCAGTACTGAGCCATACCTGCAAAGCAGAATTGTGTGTGCACAGGTGATAGATAGATAGAGAGAGAGAGAGATAGATAGATGGATGGGATGGATGGGTGGATGGATGGATGGGTGGATGGATGGGTGGATGGATGGGTGGATGGGTGGATGGATGGATGGGTGGATGGATGGGTGGATGGATGGATGGATGGATGGATGGGTGGATGGATGGGTGGATGGGTGGATGGGTGGATGGATGGGTGGATGGATGGATGGGTGGATGGATGGATGGGTGGATGGATCGATAGATGGATCAATAGATTGTATGTTACTTCACAAGATAAAGAAGCATGTCTGCCTTCTCATCTAGCCACATGGCCACAGTCTCGATAAAATATGAACAAATGACTAAGGTGCACACGGACACTACATATTTGTGAAAGTACTCAATCTGCGGACAGAACTGTTTCGTCCTATTTTTAACAGCTTGAATTTTCAAAATGAAGGGGAATACCAATGCACAACTTGCACAACTTGAACAATATACAAAATCCCAGAGATTTGATGGTGTACACGGCGTGAAGGCGATACAGTGGAGATTGAATGTAACGACAAATTGAAACGTTTAGAACTAAGTTGTGTTGCCCAAGTCTCGTAGCAAGGCCTTTCTGAAGGTCCACTTTTTAATGACAGATCAAACATAGGGATTTTCTTCATCTCCCGAAAGACTTTCACTATATCCAATTTTCACGGCACAATCTCTGAGAATAAGCACTGAAGCGGTAAGACCCAGGATTACACATCAATGTCATTTAACAGGATGCTACTGAAGCACACAGTTCCCCGTAGTAAGTCATACATTATGCCATCTGGTATCTCCAACGCAGATTCAGACACAAGGCCTTACCAGAATGCTAGGCCAAATGCTCCGAACATCAGGAAGTAGGCCGAGCCGAAGCCCACGCCGAACACAAAGCCTTTCTTCACCCCAACCTTGCGTGCACCCTCCAGCTCGTGTATATACCTACAGTGAACAGTGACCAGTGAACAGTGAACAGTGAACAGTGAACAGTGACCAGTGCAGTGAACAGTGAACAGTGAACAGTGAACAGTGACCAGTGAACAGTGAACAGTGACCAGTGAACAGTGAACAGTGACCAGTGCAGTGACCAGTGCAGTGACCAGTGACCAGTGCAGTGACCAGTGACCAGTGACCAGTGCAGTGACCAGTGACCAGTGCAGTGACCAGTGACCAGTGAACAGTGAACAGTGACCAGTGAACAGTGAACAGTGACCAGTGCAGTGACCAGTGACCAGTGACCAGTGCAGTGACCAGTGACCAGTGCAGTGACCAGTGACCAGTGCAGTGACCAGTGACCAGTGCAGTGACCAGTGACCAGTGCAGTGACCAGTGACCAGTGCAGTGACCAGTGACCAGTGACCAGTGCAGTGACCAGTGACCAGTGCAGTGACCAGTGCAGTGACCAGTGACCAGTGACCAGTGCAGTGACCAGTGAACAGTGCAGTGAAGCAACTCAAACTGCTAGTACAGTACTGTCACGGTCGGGTGCCAAAGAACGACCAGGCTAGAATGTCACCAAGCACAGCATACCAATGTATACACGGTGACTCAACTGTGCATAGACTGTAGTACATGAAAATAAGAACGGTCTACGCTACGAGCCTGACCCCTCAGTTCTTCGAAACCCGGGCCGACAGTATTGTAGTCATGTTCATCAGATACGACAAGCAATTACCGTGCTGCTCAATGAAATCCAACCACGTCAAGTTTGCACCCTGCACCAGTTTACATCCCAGTGTTCGCAGGTCTAGCTAGTTTGCTGCACAGCGTTCGGCGTGGTGATCACTCTCTTGATCGGATTTCATTGAGCAGCAATATCAAATACAGTTTTCTGGCTTGTGTGGATTCAGTCAAACTGACGTTTCCCCACTTACGAGAGCATCACATTGTGCAAGTACGGGAAGATCTATTGGAGTCATACTTTCCTGAAAAGCCCTACATAATAGTAACGAGTGGAGCACATACCTATCGGCTTCCTTTGTCTCTCCCCCGAACGCAACCACCGTGCGTATGGAAGACAAGACTTCTTCCGCCACAGCGCCTGCCTTTGCATATGCATCTTGCTCCTTCGTGCCGAATGAGATAACCAGCTACAGACCAGAAAAAGACATCCACAGCAGATGGCAATGAAATTCGAGGTCTAAACCCAGCTAAGGTTCCCAAGCCTGGCCCAGTCACTTAATTAACCCGGCTCAGACACCAAACCTGGTCTAATTCCCGACCCGGCCAATTCCCATATACCTGGTCCCGTCCCCAAAAATATCCTATTCCCAAACCTGGCCCAGTCTCCATACCTGGTCCAGGGCCCAAAACTAGTCCCGTCCCCAAACCTGGTCCAGTCCCCAAACCTGATCCGGTCCCCAAACCTGATCCAGTTCCCAAACCTGGTCCAGTCCCCAACCCTGATCAAGACCCCAAACCTGATCCAGTTCCCAAACCTGGGATACTCCTCAAACCTGGTCCAGTCCCCAACCCTGATCAAGACCCCAAACCTGGTCCAGCCCCCAAACCTGATCCAGTCCCCAAACCTGATCCAGTGTCCAAACCTGGGATACTCCCCAAACCTGATCCAGTCCCCAAACCTGATCCAGTCCCCAAACCTGGTCCAGTCCCCAACCCTGATCAAGACCCCAAACCTGGTCCAGTCCTGAAACCTGATCCAGTCCCCAAACCTGGCCCTGCCCCCAAACTTGGTCTAGCCCCCAAAAAATGTCCTGTGTCGTCTGAATTATTTCGTCAATTATTGTTCTAAATAAAATTTACTGGAACACATTCATACCTTGGAAACAAATGCTGAAGATGCTCCAAGTAAGGGTGTGGTTGCCAAGACAACAAGAGATAGCCTCCAGGAGTAGACAAAGCCGATGACAAAGCCGGCTATGCTGCATGCTATCCACTGGCAGAAGACACTGTTCTTGTCACCAATGCCATCGTAGACTTTCAGAATATCACTGTGTACACACACACACACACACACACACACACACACACACACACACATACACATGCGCGCGCGCATGCTCACAATGTTCAATGATGACAAAAGCATTCATAATTACTTGCCCAATTCACAGTGCTCAAACCGGTTTTGCACAGATCCCGGTATATGATCGATCTACTTGCCATGGTTGGTTTTCATCCTCCCTCTGCCTTTACGGGATGAATTTGTCATACAAGGAAGTGTAGTCAAGAGAATGACAGCCTCAGTATGCTTCGATAAAGCTTAACAAAATCACAACTTGACAATGATATTACCGTATTTTCCAGAGTATAAGCTGCACTGCTGCACCCAGATTTTTTGTCTCGAAATACAGGCATCTACCCTGTATTTCACAGTTCATTTGACCATCGGAGTATAAGCCGCACCGACCTTTTTTGGATGAATTACCAGTGTTCAAAAATTGCGGCTTAAACTCCCGGAAAATACGGTACCAAAGCCAAGCACCTCGGGGCTGGTCTTACTCGGACAGTCTGGATGCCAACTCTCCGGTCTTGTGTGTGTCGAACCAACCAATGTCCTTGTGCAGAATGGCGGTGAAGAACTTGCGGCGGATCCGTCTGATGATGCTCTCTCCCACCGAGTACCAGCAGAACACCTGCATAGCAGTACAGTGGACAGCAATATATAACATACCGGTCTGCCGTGCCAATACTACAAGCAATGTTAGAATAAATCATAGAGAGGCAATGTTATGCCTTTACCCCATTTTCCTCTTTGTACATATGCATGTATGTTTTTAAAATTGATGATAAACATCATGGGCGTAGGAACCGGTCCGGCAGGCCCGGCGGTCGCCGGACCAATAATTTTCGATTTTTATTTATTTTTTACATTTCAACCTTGTTGATGGCTTGTCGACTCTTGTACAGGTACCATGTTTTACATCGACAATGCGGTGTATCATCAGCATGCATATTCTTATTTCTCATATTATTCTGTAGCATTAAAATATGGCCTTTTAGGCCCAATTTTCAAAAAAAATCACGGGGGAGGACCCCCGGACCCCCTCTCACAATTTCGCCGCACCAATATTAAACTGCTTCCTACGCCGCTGAACATGTAAGTACACATGCGCGCGCTCACACACACACACGCACACACACACACACACACGCGCACATGCGCACACACACACACATGCTTACCTGTAGATAGGACACAAACCACACACCACCAGCCATACCAGCATAGATGATAGCCTGATCTTTGAGCTCATCTTGCAGCTTATCAAACAGCGCGTCTCCAGTTCCATTGGTAACATTAGTGGTAACATTGGTAACATTAGTGGTAGCATTGGTAACATTAGTGAGGTTGCCACCACCGCCGGGACCCAGCGTTGTGGCATCGACAAGCGACTGGACAGAATTGCCAAAGACAATCATAACGGCTGCCACTGCTGTGCCGTGGGCTGCAGCCATGATGATGCCGACAAACATGAGTACAACTTCCAGTGGTGTGGCGTACTTGAACTGTGCGAAGTAAAGCCAGCATAGTACAAGACAACTTACAATCCTTCTGAGGAAAATTATCTTTCCAATGTGGTCTGTTTAATAGATTAGTGCAACACCCATATGTCTAACGTTACATAAGAACAAGGTTGTCTTGAGGGATACTACCACGGTACACCACGGTACTGTGGGTAGGGGCGTCGAAAGGTAGTTTAGGGGTACAGTCAGCCATACATACAATGTACGTGTCTGTGGGGGGGGGGGGGGGGAATAGGTCCGCTGAAAATTCCGAAATTTAGACCATCGTGAGAATAAAGATTTGAAGCAACAACAACAACGACAACAACAACAACAACAACAACAACAACAACAACAACAACAACAACAACAACAACAACAACAACAACAACAACAACAACAACAACAACAACAACAACAACAACAACAACAACAACAACAACAACAACAACAACAACAACAACAACAACATCGTATGCCTCCGTTTTAATCCCAGGTCATCTTACCAGCCGTAACAAGGACACTTTCTCTTTCGACTCTTCATCCTCATCAGTTTCGTTTGTTTCAGTGAGTCGATACTTGCCATTACTCCTGTAGAAGGAGAACACACACACACACACACACACACACACACACACACACACACACACACACACACACACACACACACACACATACACACACATGGCAGGTAACAAATAGGACACGTGCGCAAGGGTGCTGGGTGCCTGATGCTGCTACATTTGTGTACCACCTTGACTCAAAGTTTCATTGAGCATCCGGCTGTGCTTAGCTGACAGCACAGTAGAAGACATGATGATGTGCGGGGCAAGGAATCGTTCCGGAATATACTCAACACTAGTAGAATGATGGTGTATGGGGCTGACCCCGCTGTATTGGGACACCCTGTGCTGAACCCCTTTGCCCTCGGACTGTGTAATTCGATATTATGACATATCAAGTTATACATGTACTTGGAGTGGACTGTACATTGTATAGTCGAGTCCACGTGTATATAGGTTATGCGGTTACATCTTCAGTTGAGATGCCTTGGCGGCGAAGTTGCGGCACAGCGATGCATTGCGCTGCACAGCAATGCACTGCGCTGCACAGCGATGCACTTGTACTAGCGATTCACACTGCATACTTACTCGAAAAATTGCTGAGTCATGCTCGTATACTTGTACTTCTGTCCATTTCTGTCCCCCCCCCCCCCCCCACACACACACACCTAGTTTCTCTGTGAACCATTCCACCTTCATCGGAGGGGGTCTTAGTGCACTGAGTTCACCGCGGTCAACATGTCCCTAGCGTGCGACGAAACAATGTCGCTGCCAACGACGCTGTTGTGGAATGTCTTCAATGGACGGTCTCGACCTCTGTACAATACTAACTCCATGGAGTCACACCCAATCTCAAACCACTTGAACAGCCACTGCCGGTGCACACTCAGCATACCTGTGACTCACTTTGGTGCCAGCAGCAGTAACCGAACCGCTTCCACTCCCAATGCCATCCAGAGCACGCGAGACGTCCATCAAACCTTCCACTCCGCAAACCTGCCAGAAAGCACCACTCCCTGCTCAATACACTGTGCTTCGGGGAAGTCACCGCTCATCATTGGTGTCGGAACCGACTTGGCTGGCCCCGGCTCGAGCCACCCCAATACTAGTATTCTGACCGATATTTGTTTTTTTTTGCTCCTCAGCCGCCTACAAAATTGATGAAAGTAACCGGAGATTTTCATGCAAGGGTGTCGCATGCCCTCAAAGAGGCACGATGTGGTACGATGTGGCACGATGTTTCAAACCGATTTCCCAGGATCCCACCTATACCCAGGGTCGCCGTAAGAAGTCAGTTTTCAATTCTTCCGGTCGTACCAAAGGTTTTTCATACAGTTTGTGTATAATATGGCGGGTACATACTTGTATGCCCTCCTCAGCAGTAAACATGTGTTGGTAGCCACAAAGTTGATCCGGTGTTAACCTGACCAACCAGAGCGGTTCCAGCGGGCCTGCTATCTAACTTACTCTGTCTTTCGGGCGAAGCCGAATCAATCCCAAATAACTTCCTATACGCACGCTCATCAGTGATCGAAATGCCCAAGGCCTTTGTGTGTTAGTAAACGTGTGTGTGTGTGTGTGTGTGTGTGTGTGTGTGTGTGTGTGTGTGTGTGTGTGTGTGTGTGTGTGTGTGTGTGTGTGTGTGTGTGTGTGTGTAGGCATGTATGCAGGGGCGTGCTCGGCCCCCCAACTAGGGGGGGGGGGGGGGTGCACGGGAGCCGAGGGGAGCCCCCCCCCGGCAATTTTCTGCAATTTGTTTGCAACCTTTCTTGAATTTTAGAGCATATTTGCATACATTACAATTGCAATTACCCAGATTGAAATTTTTTGGGGGGTGCACGTGTCCCCCGTGCCCATCGCTGAGCACGCGCCTGTGTGTGTGTGTGTGTGTGTGTGTGTGTGTGTGTGTGTGTGTGTGTGTGTGTGTGTGTGTGTGTGTGTGTGTGTGTGTGTGTGTGTGTGTGTGTGTGTGTGTTGAATGGTGTAATCCCAGCACAAGTTTCTATGTCTAAAATATAGCTGTTCGCTATCATCACTCCCGCGATGGGCATGTCTGAGGTCTGAGGTGTGTGTGTGTGTGTGTGTGTGTGTGTGTGTGTGTGTGTGTGTGTGTGTGTGTGTGTGTGTGTGTGTGTGTGTGTGTGTGTGTGTGTGTGTGTGTGTGTGTGTGTGTGTGTGTGTGTGTGTGTGTGTGTGTGTGTGTGTGTGTGTGTGTGTGTGTGTGTGTGTGTGTGTGTGTGTGTGTGTGTGTGTGTGTGTGTGTGTGTGTGTGTGTGTGTGTGTGTGTGTGTGTGTGTGTGTGTGTGTGTGTGTGTGTGTGTGTGTGTGTGTGTGTGTGTGTGTGTGTGTGTGTGTGTGTGTGTGTGTGTGTGTGTGTGTGTGTGTGTGTGTGTGTGTGTGTGTGTGTGTGTGTGTGTGTGTGTGTGTGTGTGTGTGTGTGTGTGTGTGTGTGTGTGTGTGTGTGTGTGTGTGTGTGTGTGTGTGTGTGTGTGTGTGTGTGTGTGTGTGTGTGTGTGTGTGTGTGTGTGTGTGTGTGTGTGTGTGTGTGTGTGTGTGTGTGTGTGTGTGTGTGTGTGTGTGTGTGTGTGTGTGTGTGTGTGTGTGTGAATCAATCTGTGAGACAGTATTTGCAATGTGGCATCGGATTCACTGTTGCAGCATTGTCACGTGCAATGGCTATGTGCCTCCCTGCCCTCCCTGCGATTTGCTGCCGGCGTTTGCACCACGATGGTTTGTGGTTACCATGTAAAAAACCAATCAAATGCTGGCTTACCCAATCTGCTTCTTGGCGCCCAGGGCCTCGTCAGAATCGCTCCTGTCTTTCGTTGCTGGGCTTTTCCTGGACTCCGTTGTCTCCACGCCCGCTAGCTCAGACTCTAGGCGCTTGCCTGAATCAGAAGCAGTATCAACGTCCACGGTGCTTCTCAGGTGGGCGGATGGTGGATCCCCACCCGCTACGGCTTGCACCTCCACATCCATCGATAGTGGCCACTACCCAGTATTAGTGCTAGCAGCGCGGGCAGCGCGGGCAGCGTTACACTTACAGAGATGATAGAAGATCGACTTCGTCACTCGACGGGCTTCTCTAAATCAAGTGAACCCCTTAGCCTTAGGTAGACCTACATGTACTTGCAGTACTTGCAGTTGTAGCTGCTGATTGATTGCACTGGTGGAGTTGACAAGAAAAAGTCGCAAGAACTGCGGAAAGCTTCTCAAGACAAAATAAAACCTGTGAAAATCAATGGTGTCGTTTTTATGGCGTTCCCGGTGTTACTGATTATTATGTCACAGAGTAGTCGATAGACTGGCTGCGAGCCTGGTAGTGCGGATACGGTGATCTTGCGCATAGATCGTATCGCCCCAAACTCAACACTCCACAGCTAAGCCAAGTCAAGGAGTAACAATTATTATACTAATAATCTGCCTTAGTAAATCGCCTTCTACTTCTACTTATATTAGCGCTCTAACACAACGCGATACGCGTAGATCTACATGTACGTGTAGCGTGCCAGCAGATCAACACAGCCCTAGCCTAGCCATGCATGCGGTAACGTCAGTCAGCACTACCGTAAAACAAGCATGGTAGGACTGGCGTGCGCATGATGATTGTGGACATATGAACGATTCGGTGAGTTGCGCGGATTTGCGTTACCTCAAGCTCATTTCAGTGAGTTTCGTAGATTTCGAACGCCAGACACCCACGCCCCACCACCTCGCTCGATCGAGACTTGTTGACTAATAGTAATAATTATGTCACCACATGTACCGCGTTACGCGGCGTATATCAATCCCATTCCCCAGGCGCTACTGTATACTGTAGGCGTGAACGAGAGAATGATGTCAGATCATTTGACTTCACAACATCACCACCATGGCATGGTCGCGCGCTGTCAGCGTTGATCAGCTAGCGCGATAGCTGCACGATGTGACGTGCGAACAACAAACCGTGGAGCGGAAATCATACAGCACTGTCACAGAGGTCAGTGTCAGTAGAATGATTACAACCTAAAGCATGCCATGACTCCGAAGCCTGAGGTCGAGGAAAGTGTATGCAAAATGCATGTACCGGTATTAGAAAACACAGTCTCAGAAAAATAGAAATGGAAAGGGACAGGTGCACGATCACGAAGACAAAAGCTTTATCGAGCAACAATGATAATGGTGCCATCATGCGGAAATGGCTGTGCTCTGCCTCTGGTTGCGAAACCCATCCTACACTATACAAAGTCATGTACATGACTGTACTAGTCTATGTTGCACTCTGACGTGTGCTCTGCAAAACGATGTGCTTGTAAGTGGGCGGACAACGGTGACCGTGGTGCACCGGTGGTGGTCCGATTTCATATCCTCGGATCGGAGAGGTTAGTATCATGACTATGTCGCACGTACGTACAGAGAGACCTGCTGACTAGTGCTGTCCCCTGTTCATTGGCCATTGCCTGTGGGAAATCCCCTCATATCAATCATACCACAAAGATCAAAGCTGTTAGTGACACAACACATGCACAGTCTAGTCCACAAGAAACAAACATTCGAAGGAGGATGGCGCGATGCTGGCCCTTGTGTTGCTCCGCATGCCAAGCGAACACGTAAACGCGCATGACATTGTGATTTGTAGTGGAAGATAAGAGCCTTTGCCTTTGCCTTTGTCCTAGTTCAAGGTCAAGTCATCATGTGACTACAAGGTGACTTGAGAGCGAAACACAGTGATGAAATGTTCTGACCCGCCGCGTCGTAGCAGCAATCATCACCAATAACAAGATCTACTAAGTACTATTACTTCAAGCAATAGTATTATGTACATGCCAAAATCACTGAATAGACACTGATTCAGTGCATAATTATGCGAATACAGTGTTCCCAGAGTCACTGACGGAACACGTGGTGTTGTTGCCGCAGCCTAGCCTGCAGGCCCAGCCTCTGCCCGTCCAGCACTGATCTGGTGCATGCCTACATACTACATGTAGAACTGCGGTACAAACATGAAGTTATGCTCCTACCTCCGAAAGGATGCTAAAATTAATTATAATATTATGCTCCAAATTTTCAACCACCAAATTATGCCAATACTTATGCCGGCATAATCTGCCGGTGCCTAGCCATTTTTTTGTCAGCGGCGTCCAGCGTCAGCGCCCTGCTGTCCCGCATTCTGGAACAACACGCCGCGTGCCAGCCTGGTTCAGTGTTTGCTTTCGGCCTCTGGTAGCGTGAAGGAATGGAGGGGATCTGTGCAGTTCAGAATTGATGGGAAATCCTGATAACCGGCACTGAGAGATAGGAATGCGAAGATGCCTAGGCGGGACACTATCCATCACTACTACCAAGGGTTTGTAGTAACTTTGTACAGTCAACATCTTCCTTCTAAGCCGACAACTGTCTGTGTGTCCCAATTACCCCGATCGGACGATGTAAAATACAATGTCATGCATGTACATTTACATGTATACATGTCATGTACCTAGGAGTAGGAATGACTCTGGATTGGCCAGGTTTCTGTGCCACGTGACACATCCCCGGAACAAAATCCGAGTGAAACAGTGGATGCTTGGCCGGACGTCACTGGAAGGAGAAACCAGTTACCTTGCTGTGCAGGCCACTTGGCCGAAATCCGGAGAAGCATGGAGTTCCTGCCCAGTGCCCGCATACAGTCAACCCTGCGAAGAGCCTCGATCGGCCATGACTGTTTTTTCGAAACTAACTTGATAACACGCACCATTTGGCGGCACAAGGCAGCAAGGCAGCGATGAGACATAATCATGGAATGGCAGGAGTGGGGGAGAGGCAGGGGCAGCTTAGCCGACCATAATCACGGTCTCGGCTTCATTGCGACTCGAGCGCTCCACAGAAACAAAACTCAAAAGATTACAATTTTATACAGACAATACGCAGGGGAGGGGGGGGGGGGGAGGTATTGCAGGGGATTATGCGACAATGTATGCACAATATAAGAGTGTCACGAAGTCAATGGAGGAGGGAACAGAGTTCGAGCTTTTTTTTAGTTCATAGCCTGTCTGTTGCCCACTCCCAGTGGGTAGGCGCAGGTGGGCAATGACCTTCTCTTTGAACTTTTGCAGTCCTTTCCTTGTTGGCGGGTTCATTAGAACGCATCGCGGGAGTTGGTTCCACGCCTCCACAACAGCCTCAGGGAAGGACCGCAGGACGTTATTCCGTGCTCTGCGGGGAAGAGTAGATGTGAGCTGAAACTGGTGTGAGGGATGCAGTTATGTGCATCGTCAGATATGGCTTGATGCGTTGGTCGCTCGGGGGTGGAAGGAGGGTGAGGAGCATGTCTGGGTTGAAAAGTGGAGCTTGTACAGAAAGCAGAGTGCTCCGGCCATTCTGCGGATGTCCAGGCAAGGGAGGTACTACCGGATTAGGCGAAGGCCACGACGTTGCCGTTGGTGAGGCGATCCAGAGTGGAGAGTGCAGTGCTCGTCCACACCAGCATACCGTACTACTACTCCAGGACCGGGCGGACAAAGCCTTTGTAGATCACACCACGGCGCCTGGAGTCCAGCATTCCTGAGGCTTTCCGCAGGAAGCCGAGACGCCGAAGCTGCGAGCCTCGAACGGCCAATTGCCTGATATGAGCTGTGAAGAGCAGGTATTTGGTTCCACAGCACACCCAGCAGCTTCAGCTGGTCCAATTCTGGAACAACTGTGCCTTGGAATACGATCGATGGGACGACGACTGTGTAGCGATGGCGAGAAATCAGGAGGGGTTGAGACTTGGTAGGCTCAAACTGAATTTGCCAGGCCATCCTCCAGTCTGCCAGCGCATGTACACTCGTACAGCAAGGTGGAGTACGTAACTCGTTTACATCTTCGGGTACGGCAGTGCAGTATGGGTAGATACTAGATATGCACTTGTATAAGGTGATGTCATCAGCAATGCATTATATACCGGTACATGTAAAACAAGCTGGACCCCAGCAGGTAGTCTGTAGGTGCTGGTCAGCATCATTCGTATAATGCATCATTCGTATAATTATAAAGCAGGAATAGAGGCAGGCCCGGCAAAGATGCTACCCTGGGGAATAGAATAGAACGCCTGGCATGATGGGGTAAGCAGAGGAGAACTGTCCGCATACTATAGCCTGGAGAGCGCGGTTGGTGAGGTAGTTTCTGAGCCAGGCAATAGTCCCTGGATCATCCCATACCGCTCAGCTTTGTACAGAACACCAGGGTGCGACACTTTGTCGAACGCCCCAGCAATATCCACTGCTAGGACGCGCTGTCCTCCACTGTTGGCAAGTCGGCTCCATTCGTGTTACACTCACTTAGCGCACTTTCTCTCTTCTTTTATGTTACTAGTACATACACAAATAGGAGATCTCCCAGATAGGCGTTAGCCTTTAGGTAATCCTGAAATAAAGATTATTACAAATTATTATGGAGAGCTACAGAAGGAGATCAGTTGCGCCAAGTCCAGGGCGGAAGCCAAATTGGCGAGAAAGTTCGTAATGCTCCGGTTGATTATGGTTTCTATGCATTTCGAGATGATGGAGAGAAGGGATAAGGTAGTTCTTCACACAGAATCAGGCTCGAGCCTTTCTTATGAACCCGGATGATGTTCACCACCTTCCAAGCAGATAGAGAGGAGAGATGGTTGGTGGCCCTGTCGGAAACAGAGAGAACAGACGAGCGAGCGGGTGCGCACGAGAATCTGCACACATCACCTCAGAGGGTACAGGATCAGGGCGAGTTGCTTTTGATGGGTTGATTGCTTCACTGCAGTTTGGCGAAAGTCCGCTGTTGTTTTTCTGCGTAGTGAACGCTGTTTGACATCGGGAAAGGTTGAAGTAGTAGCAATATTAGCCTCTACTTTCTTCTTCTCTTTTACACAAGCCAATATGTTTTGCTTTTCATCCATGCGTGTCTGACCTTCAACCCGCTCTCCCCTTGCCTCTTTTTTCATCATAGTACAGGTAATAATGATGCTTGTACATGTACATGTAGCTCACTATGAAGCCGAGACGTCACTCCTCAGGTCGGCCGAGTGCTCTAGGTCTCACCAACTTTTTGCTCCTCAATTTTATTTAGAGTGGAGCCCATGGGCACTTGTAACAAAAACTGAAGGCTGTCTGCATTTAATATTTTGTTGAGCGAATTGGCTTCCCAGGATCTCGGCTTTGTCACAGTTCTCTGTGTGCTCCTGTCCATCGGAGTCAACAAGAACAGGCATAGCGCTGTCGCGACCACTTCCACCTGCACGTCTAACAACGGACCTGTCACCACCACCCTTGGGGGAATACTGCTCGAAACAATTGGCAGGTTCTGCTCGAAAAGCAGTGACATTGGAAGAACCATACAAACCTTATGGCAGGCTCTTCCTTGAATTCTGCTCCATTTCTTTATTCACATACCAAACATGCATGAAAGTTCAAACATACCAGAAACGTACCGTGCAAAATTCTGCCCATTTTTCTGCCGGCAATTATCCGCCAAGGGCTACCTGGGTTCCGAC